ATGAGCAGAACAATCCGAAAACACGTTAAATAACAGTACAGCCCATTGAAGAGATGCATGTCTATCCCTCACAGCCTCGCTTTCATTCTCATTAAAAATCAAAGATGGCGCTGCCGTGAATAAGGTGTATTGCATCCAGTGCTGCTTTTAAGCTCGCGCCAACGAGTGAAAGCCCGACCGAGTGGGACTCTTGTCCGGTTTCTAGCACGGTCCGATTCTCTTTTCCTTTTTCTGGACATTTCTGACCGAGTTTTCTTGGATGCGCGCAAGTGACTTCATACAGTGTGTTGTTGGTGTTGTGTGTGACATCGTTGCCGCAAAGTATGTCGTGATTCTCGCGTGATTTTTCAGGGGCGCTGCTCTCAAACTTGCATTGCTGGTTTTTCCGGCGTTTGCTCCCTCATCTGAAAATTCCCCCTGTGCCATTGGCTCACAGAAATTCAGAATGAGAGCGGAAGTGGTTAACATGTTTTACTATTGTTTTCACAGACTCGAAATGCCAACTCCTTGGGACAGCAAGCATTAGCAGAGAAGAACTCCAAAACGGCACGCACCCTGAATCATGTTGCCCTTGCTATTGGGCTTGTTTTCATTGTATTGCTGATTGTCAACCAGATTATGGCTCATAAAGAATAGATAACAGCTACTAGAGATGTCATGTTTTGATGCAGATTAGAAACAGATGGTTCTCTGCATTTGAAATGTTATTTGCTCAATGTATTTAAGACATACAATGATTATGGTATGTTTAAAAACAATGAAAGCTTTAATTAAATTTTATTTTGAAAAACTGTACTTTTTCTCTTTTTTTCTTAATTATTGAATTACATTTTCAGTAATTAATAACATAAATATAGGCTATTCTAAGTGTATATGAGACTGCCGTCTTATTTTATAACCCATTGGCAATGCATTTTCTGTTCTCTTTTATATACCGTGGCCGAGAAAGCACAACGCACTGCAAATGAAGAAAACACATGCAAGTAGAAAAAACACCAGCAAATTAAAGGGTTAGTTCACCCAAAAATGAAAATTAAGTCATTAATTACTCACCCCCATGCTGTACCAACCCCGTAAGACCTTCGTTCATCTTCGGAACACAAATGAAGATATTTTTGATTAAATTTGAGAGCTGTCTCACTACCACATTGGCTGCCTAAGGGACTGGCTCTTGACGGCCAGAAAGTCAATGAAGAAAATGTTTAAATATCCCATGTGACTACCGTGGCTCAACTATAAGTTTATCAAGCGACGAGAATACTTTTTGTGCGAAAAAACAAACTTCAGTTCAGTTCTCGCGCATGCGTAGTGGAAATCTAAGGAAGTCTCGTTTCAGGCCAACAATGAAGAAAAGGAATAGTCTAATAAAGTCGTTATTTTTGTTTGTTTTTTCGCACAAAAAGTAGTCTCGTCGCTTGATAAACTTATAGTTGAGCCACTGTAGTCACATGGAATATTTAAACATTTTCTTCATTGACTTTCTGGGCCGTCAAAAGCCAGTCCCTTAGGTAGCCAATGTGGTAGTGATACAGCTCTCAAATTTAATCAAAAATATCTTCATTCGTGTTCCGAAGATGAACGAAGGTCTTACGGGGTTGGTACACCATGGGGGTGAGTAATTAATTACTTAATTTTCATTTTTGGGTGAACTAACCCTTTAAGAAAACATCATCAGTTTGAAAGAGTATGAAAGAAACCAAAAAGATGGCTCGTTACCCTGCATGAAAGAAAGCAAAAAATGGCCAGTGGCCCTGTAAAGTGAGAAAATTCCACAGCGAATTGTATATCGCTAGTCTCAGGTCTGTGGCTAAAGCCTTCTGCAGCTTCACACATGCTCCGCCTGAGACCAGGCTGTATCTATCAGGCGCCTTTCATTTGAGGAAGCAAGGTAGGCAGTCCTTCCTAAAAAAAAAATAGCTTAGAAATCTAGACACAAAAATTATTTTGCAGCAAAGTGTGGTCTTGCAACTCTTCATAGACGTTTTAGCTGGAAAACCCCAACTCTGGTAGGGCCAATCACATCGTGTATAGAGTCAGCGGGCGGGCTTAACATGATGACGACAGAGTTGAGACGGTCAGAGAAAGCTTTCTCACTCCTCCATAGGCTTCTAAAGGGATTGAAACTTGATGGCCCAGAAAAGTTCAAGACATCGTTAAAATAGTCCAAGGGTATACAGTGGCTCTTTCTTTAAAGGAACACTCCGACTTTTTGGGACTTTAGCCTATTCACCTTACCCCCCAGAGTTAGATAAGTCCATACATACCTTTTTCATCTCCGTGCGTGCTATAAGTCTGTTTGACGCACCCACCACTAGCCTAGCTTAGCACAAAGACTGGATGTGAATGGTTGCAGCTTTCATACTAATCCAAATGAGTGACAAAATAACGCAAACGTTTTCCTATTTACATGTTGTGGTTTGTATAGTCACAGAGTGTGCAAATATCAAGGCCATATGAGACACAGACATCTTTTGACCGTATAAATACTATATTTTCTGAAGGGGAAGTGTGGGGAAATCTAGAATATGCATTGATAGAATATATGTAATTTAGTAATTGTTGTAAGATAGTTGTGAGTTAAAGGCTAGACCCACCCCCCCTGTGTAATGTTTTTTTGTAATTTCTGTTATTTTATTAATGGTGGTTATTTAATTAGTCAGTATGCACTAATATTCGTGGTATACAGCGATGTGAGGTGTGTCCAGTGGGTGGCGGTAAGCCAGAGGAAAACCTAGACGAGATTATAAGTGTAAAGTGATGTTCACGCGAGAAAATGACGAGATTTGAAGCGTAGAGTTATGTTGTACTGTGTTGCTCGGAGCTGTTGCGAATGACGCTGGTTGAATAAAAAGAACCCAACCATTCACACGCTTGTTCATTTCTTCAAGTGTGCTACAGAAGCACTGCTACTTGGGCAGAGTGATAACAATCACCTGAGACGCACCGTGACGAGGAGCAGAGAGTTCGCTTCGCTCAGCGTTGGAATAAAGAGTCAGCAATTACTAACGTTAGATAGAAAAGCATAGTTTATCATGGGTGTTTGCTTTATTGTATGAGCTGTGACAATAAACAGGTAATACAGTACCATGTTTCATTGATTTCCAACCAAAAACGCACCCAGATTTATAAATATCACGAATAAAATAATTATTATTACAGGAATCAATATATTTTAAATGCAATTTATTAGCTGAACCAAATGTATTCAACAGTAGCCTATATAATATACAGTATTGCATTACTATAGGATAGAATAAGGGGAAAGTAATAGCACAAATTGTTTTTGCACAATGAACTCACAGCCTATCGTACCCTTTTGCCCGCTCAAGTTCGTTATTTCCATGGTTATTTCAAATTTAGGCTACTAGGCGCGCCGCGCGCAGGGTGCAAGTTCAACGCGGTGAACGCGCTCGTTTTTTTCCCCAAGCGCGTCCGCACCGCATCAAGATAAAAACATATTCATACCCTAATCATATAATAGTGTCACTAACGTTACATTAGATCTGGCTAAAGGCACTGTTACAGTAGGTCATCTAAAAACATAACGGAAAACACTTACCTCAGCCGCAGGTGATCCACTTGTCCTGTCTGTGCTATCGATGGGATGGCCGTATCCTTCAGCACATTATGGTCCATGTGGCAAATTCCATTTTTTCAAAATAGTCGTCCTCATTGAAATGTACCGAGCAAACATAATATCCCTTGATAATCAGGTGTGTTTGGATAAATATCCAGAGTAAGTTAGCCATTTCTTCATCCAGTCAGCGTTTTTAGTTGTTATTCTGTGAAACATGGTTACCTCCCCTGTTTACAGTCGCAGCTATTTACAATAGAGCGAAAACCCATGACTCTAAACTACGCTTTTACTATTTATAAATTGCTGACTCTATTACCCAAACACCGAGCGAACTCTCCGCTCCTCACTACGGCGTGTCTCCGGTGATGCGGTTATTACGCCGTCAAAGTAGCAGTGCTTCGCCTTCAGAGAATAGTTCTGAGGTTTTATACGGTTAAAAGATGTCTGTGTCTCATTTGACTTTGTTATTTGTACATTATGTGACTATACAAATCACAACATGTAAATAGGAAAACGTTTGCGTTATTTTGCCACTCATTTGGATCAGTATGAAAGCTGCAACCAGTCACATCGAGTCTTTGTGCTAAGCTAGGCTAGCGGTGGGTGCGTCGCGTCAAACAGACTTATAGCAGAAAAAGAGAGATGAAAAAGGTATGTTTATGTATATGGACTTATCTAACTCTGGGGGGTAAGGTGAATAGGCTAAAGTCCCAAAAAGTCGGAGTGTTCCTTTAAGTTTATCAAGCGACAAGAATATTTGTGCGCAAAAAAAAAAAAAAAAAAAATAACGATTTTATTACACTATTCATTTTTCTTCTCTGTGGGCCTTGAGATTTCACGTAGTGTAACTGCGCATAGCTTCTGTGTTGTGTCAGTGTCACATGTAGACTCACTACTGGCCGATGCTGGTCATGTGTGTGATGCGTGTGACGTGCAACCTAGAAGCGTTGCGCAGTTCCACCACGTGAAATCTCGAAAGTATTACTACATTTTCTTCCTGGAATACACCTTGAAATCCTACCCCCGATTGGGATCAGGATAATTTTGTTTTGTTTTTTATCAAACTGGAGGTTTGATCCAGATTACAACTAGGACTGGATTCCGTTATGTAATCTGATTTCAGATTCCTTCTTTCCCCTTTGAACAACCCATTTTCAAGATTTGATCCAATCTGATAACCAAAATCCGATGAGTTTATCTTTGAACAGCTGGCCCCTGATTTAAAAAAAAAGGAAGATTTAAAAAAAAGACATGCTCAGGAATCATTAAATCATCTCCATATGTCACCTGGTACTTAACTTTCCTGAACTCATAAAGCTATGTTGACGCCTGCAGTCAAACTGAAAAGTTGGTCAACAGTGAATCTGTGCCAACAATCTTGTCACTCCTCCCCTTACTGTATAACACAACCCAGCTACCAATAACCAGAAGAGTAACTTGACACACTTAGCAGATCAGTCTTCACTTGACTACACCAGAGGCAGACGTACAGATCTTTCTTATTGCAGGTAAAACACGCATTCCAAGACAAACATGGATCCCAAAAAGTTTCCAATGGAAGTAGGGGAGCCTTTACTTCCACTTCAGCAGGACCCTCCAGAATACTCTGTTGGATTCCCTACCTCTCAGAGTTATCCCAGCGCTCCAGGTCAACCTGCGCAGCATTATGTAGCTCCGGCAGCATCTGTCCAGTACGTACAAGGGCCAAATCCGGTGCAGACTGTGGTCACTGTGCAGCCTCCAGTTAATGTGTCCTTCACTCCACTGACCAATCCAGAGTCAGATTACCTGTGCTACTCCATCTTTACCCTGCTGTGCTGCTGCATGCCTCTGGGATCCGCTGCTCTTGTTTACTCCATCACTGTAAGTACTGGTTCATACACCTGTCTCACCTTGCTTTTACCTTTAAAAAAATGATATCCCAACTCTACAAAATTAATAAAAAATAATTTAACCTTTATTTTCAAAATAATATAGGGCATAAATATTGTTTTGAATTTGTTTATAGAGCTCAGTTAAAATCACTTTATATTAAGAGCTAAACAAGACTTCACATGGTTGGTTCGTGTCAGTATAAAGGAATCAACGTGGAACTGCAGACAATAGAGCCAGTCAAAATAATGAGGTGTAGTTGTACTAAAATATTAACCAAGGTTCATTCATATTTTAGAGTTTAAATATGTAAAAAAATATATTTTTTAAATTCTTCAGAAAGTCTTTATTTGTTTACAGCCTGCATTTTTTAATGATTAGGCCTATTGAACGTCATGGATCAAGGTTGAATTTGAAACAAAAAGAGTTTACTATTTGAATCAACATATTGAGACGTTGTTTGGACGTTGTTAAAATTCCAGCATTGTATCTTTAGCATTTTGTTAACCTTTCTAAATCTAGGTCTATTTATAGCATTAAACGCTGTTTTGCACTTCCAGTAACTTTCGTTTTTAAAGAAAGGGTGTGGCTCGCTTAAAAAAAGGGAGGGGTGGGGGTGGGGAACCTTTTAGGGAAAAGTTCTTAAAATAACACATTTTTTCTAGGTTTGAAGAACATTTAAAAAATGTAAAGAAACTTGTTCACAAGGCTATAAAGAACCTTTAGTGCAATGAAAATATTCCATAGATGTTAAAGGTTCTTCATGGAATAAGTGACGATAAAGAACCATTATGTTAGGAGTGGATGGTTCAAAAACAACTTTGTGAATAAGGATCCCGAAAATATTGCTTCTGTGTTCAAAAATGAATGTTTGCATATAGGCTACTTAACCACAGTTGAAGTGAAAATGCAATATTTGTCAAATACACTGACGTTTCAGATTCGTTTCCATAATAGCCTATCTCCTGCTTAAAACAGCGTCTGATTGCAAGAATAAGTTCAATATAAGAGTAGAATAAGCCTAGAATAAATACCAATCTATCTAGTGGTGTCTATGTTTTTTAATCAGTTTTATTTTGATAAAAATGACACAATATCGCGACTACATGAAAAGAGATTTTATTGTTAGAAAAGCTGATTTGTGAGCATAGTGGAAGGTGTTTGACGATGACGATCGCGCGTGCGGTGAATTCAGCCAATCTTGAAACCGCTGTTTCGTCATGAACATGTCGTCATCATGCAAGAACAGAAAATGCCAAACCAGTTAATCTTGTAGAAGTAGCCTAACTTTTAAAGATAGCAAAAACTATGTGCAAAACTGCAAATAATGCACACTAATCACTGATGTTTAAAAACTCTGTGATATATTTTGTAGTTTTGTTTTTACAGCTAGCCTACTATAAATCAAATATATAACAGTATACGTTATTTCTCAGTTTCTTCTTAGTTTAGAGTGGCATTTTGTGTTTTCTTATTGTGTGAAGACATTTGATTGTTGCATGTCATTTAAGAAAGGTTTTATACCAATATTTGTAATATTAGCTATTGTAATTTACTTTCACAGACTCGGGATGCTAACATGTTTGGACACCAACCAATAGCAAGCAGAAACTCCAGAATGGCTCGCATCCTTAACCATGTCAATGTTGCTATTGGCCTCCTCTTCTGGTTGATCATTGTCATCTATTTCATTCTTGTTGTCACTGCAATTACAAACATTAGATATAACAGTAACTATAGACCATATAGACCATAAGTGTAAGAAATAGGACACCAGAAAGCTATAGATGGTGAGGGGAACATTAACACATGTTTTGAATACACAGGCATTGGGTGGTCTGCTTTTAGATGTTAGTGTTGCTCAAGTTATTGATATGAGAGTATAAGACTCCAAATGCATAAGGAGCTTAATCTATAGGGCCAGTGAGGAATGATTTGTATATTTCATGCAACTCATCTGCCTTATTATTATTTACACAATTAATACACATGCTTTTTTACACTTTATTATTGTATTTTTAAAACAATGAAAGCTTTGACTGTACATGCATCATCAAATAAAACATGTATTTTCTTCTTATCTATTTGTTATTTCATAAAACTTTGGTAATCAATAAGAAATGGGTCCCACTTTATAATGTGGCCCTAATGTCACAATGTCTGGTATGGTTGTGTTTCCCTTGTTTGTCACTAGTGGTCCTCACGGTGTCCTTCACATTTGACTTCATTTCCCAGCATTCTGTCTGTCACTGTCACTCATCAGCAGTAGCGGTAATAGGCACGGGCGAACCGGGCAGTCGCCCGGGGCGGCATCTCTTCATGTCACATGGGGGGCGGCACGAGCAGTTAAAAAAATCCTCAGTGCCGTGAAGGTTTTTTTATTTTTTATCATTTCGATTCAATTATTGGCAATCAGTTCATTGCACTCAGCTGTTCCCCATAATCATTGTTCCCAGCTGTTTGTTGTTAGTCTTGTTAGATACATTCCCTGTCTGTGTCAGTATGTGTACGGAGTCATTGTTAGATGTCATTGCACTTTATAGTTGGTTTCTTGTCTGTTTATGTTTTGTTTCTTGTTTTTGGACTGCTTTGATTATTGACCCCTGCCTGGCTGACTACGGATTTGCACTACCTAATAAATTATTATACTGTGTAGCGGCAAACAGTAACCGCTAAGAGGCTGAGTAGAGGGAATAAAAGGTGACGCGTTTCCACTGCAGATCCAAATGATTTATTGTAACATTGAAATGAACATGATGGATGATGACAAAAAAGTAAACCAAAAGTAATGAAATAGAACAAAACTAAAATGAAATGAAAACGGTCAACAGAAAGTGAGCGTCCCAGCTACTCACCCCCTTCCAACCTGCTAACCACACACAAACTAACAGGTAATATGCACCTACAACAAATGACGTAAAAAAAAAAAAATTTCAAAATAAAAGACACCAACCTAAACCTGGGGCCTGTTTCAGAAAGGAGGTTAAGTGAAAACTCTGAGTATGTTAACCCTGAAATGAGGGAAACTCTGGGTTTTCCGTTTTAGAAAGGGGGGTATATCAAACCCGAGAAAGCAGAGTAAGTCAAGCCCGTTTCTGAAAGAGAGGTGACTTATACTCAGAGTCAGTTACCTAACCTGGTCGGGAGCAGGTTTTCTTCAGTAAACCCAGAGTTTCTTGCGGTCTCCTCCCCTTTTTTAAAGAGGAAGTGCTGTTTAAACACCAACAATAATACTAAAATGTATTTACACATTCTTTAAGGAATATATATATATTGTTTGTCCATGGTTTAATTGACTAAATCTGTTTTGCAGCACTTTGCCAAAAAATAAAAGGATTAAAACATTTGCTAAACTTTTATTTGATTACCACTGTTTTGGATAATATATTTCTATTAAATCATTGAAAAAATTGTAATAAAATTTAATAAGTTATTCATTATAAAAAATAAGATGTCAATCATAATCATAATCAATTATTGAAGTAAGTTGATATTATGTTTTATTGAACAAATGTTTAATTTATTTAACTGTCATTTTAACTGATGAAAATAATAACTGTAATTTAATAATGCAGTTTATATATTTAACAATTGTTTAATACCATAAACCGTGATATTTTCTGAGATGGTTCTCATACTGTGAAACTCTCATACGTTACAACCCCACATGGGGGAGTCCCCCACCCCACCCCCGCTGTTAAACAAGTTACTCAGCAACTTTTACTCATGTTTTAAATTAACTACTTTTTACTTGAGTAGATTTTTTAGACTGGTATTTTTACTTTTACTTAAGTAAAAATGTATCAAAGTAATAGTAGACTACTTTAGGTTGAATAACATTCTTCCAGTTTCACCTCTGATATTATAACAGTTACTCTAAAATAGTTATGAATTATTAACAACAAATGACATGTTCAACGGTGTAGTTAGATTATAATAATTACTATCTCTAGAAAGTATTGGTCTACATATTACTAAATCCTATATCAACCTCAACCACTTGATTAATACAAGGAGGAGAGACAAGAAACTGCACTTTTAATGCTTTCAAATTAACAATATACAATTGCATGAATTATTCTTGAATTGATCAAAGTGTGTAGAGGGAGAAGGTTATATAAAAATATACCTTTTAAAAATGTATGCTAAATCCACTATTGTTTTATACTGAATTGGTCTATAGTTTATGCAGTAGCATATTTAATGTAATTGCATCATATTTTATTTTATTTTAAATTAAAGAAGAATTAAGAGTAATCCCTTTAATTAAATTACAATATTTAGATTACTTGGTAATTAATTATGCCCAACACCTCTTTTTGTCTGGCGCTGTTGCCATGGTGACTCGTAATATCTGCGCTCCATTGATAATGGCTTTTTATAGCTGTGGTGCACGCGCTTAACTCAGAGTCGGTCAACTCAGAGTTGATTGAACTAACTCATTTCAGCTGTTCTGTAACCGAAAACTCAAAGTTTCCCATCTTAGGGTAAGTCAACTCTGAGTTCAAGCTTTAACTCAGAGTTGGTTGAACCTCCTTATTGAAACGGGCCCCTGGCACCTACATACTGCAATTGGATTATCTGTTTATGTGTGTTGAAACCTAATACCTGTGAACTTACATGGTAACTACATGTGTTGTTAATGTGCTGTTACAAATTTGTGCTTATTCCGTAGATTGTTACATGACAAATATTAAAGCTGTAGATTCTATGTACCAATGTGCACTTACTGCAGTTAAATATTATGAACACATATATTTACCATAAGTTCACAGGTATTAGGCCACTTAATATGTCCGAGTCCCACCTGGAGCGGGGTGAGCAGAATTGGAGGCGTTACATTTGGTGCCGTGACCCGGAAGTGAGGTTTAGGGTAAGTGTAACAGAGGCCAGGTAGTTGGACCCGTGCAAGTAAACCTCATCCTCCTGGCCACCGGAGGCGCACTGCGGCAACTGATACAAGGGGATGCAATCTTTAGAGTCCTTGTCAGCGTGCCCAACACTGAGGGATGGTATTAAAATGGATCTAAAATATGTAATTCTTATTTTGTATTTTCAGTTTGTTTATTATAAAATAAGTTAATGGTAACCATAGTAACAACATGAAATAATAATAAATAAATAAAAATTGGTTCCTGGAGGCACCCAAAACGGTTCCACACAGAGCCTAATGTACGAGTTCCTCAGGAAACCTGTGTTCCTCAGAGAACCGCCCCTTTTTAAAGGGTGCCAATAGGATCTACAGACGGTTCCGCCAGTGCGGCAAAGTGAAGAACCCCAAAAGGTTCCTCCAGGCACGTCCAGGTATGGAGCAGTGGGCCAAAATCCCTGATGAAGTGTGTGGAAACCTGGACAAGAACTACAGGAAAGGTTACCAAATATTAAGGTCTGCTTCTCTGATGTATCAAATCTGCCATGCAATAAAATGCAAATGAATTGCTTAAAGATTTTCTGGATTTTTGAGTCCATCACTCACAGTTGAAGAGTACCTATGATAAAAAATTACAGAATAAGTGGGAACACTATCAAAATCGTCAGTGTAGGCCTATCACATACTTGTTCTCCCCAAGACTGAACCATAGACTGCAAAGAAAAGAACATTTTACACGTAATATGCATGCTCATGACGTCACCGTTTTCACAAATACAAGTTTTTGTAGTTTATGGAGATAATAACAATATCGTTTTCAAAATTGCATTTTGAAACCCATTTTTCGGAAGTTTGCATTTGCAGGCCTAAAACGGCTTTGTTGTGCAAATGAACGGTCAAACTACATAAAAAGTTAGTTAGCTTTTAGTTGGAAACGGGGTTGTGTAAACCGCCCCTGAGAACGTGTAACTGTGCCATCGTGTTGCTTCTTTACTGAATGTGGTTAGACTGGTAAAATAGGCCCTTTCAATTCACACGGTTAAAAAGGCAAGGTACTAAGAAGAGACTCACAATATTCGATTGAAGAACCAAAGAACCATGTCTAAAGAAGAAGGGTGGAAGCAATCAGGCATGGCCCAGGCTTCATCTCCACTATATTGTCAGGGAAACAATCCTGGAAATCATCATGCAGTCCATCCTGACAGCGTCCAGCTCCAGCTCCAGCTCCATGCCCAGCTCCTGAATCACCCCAACGAGCCTGTGGTCGTCATTCAACCCACTGTGTACCGGGCTAACGCTCCACTGGCTGACCCTGAGCCTGATTACATGTGTTACTCACTGTTTACCATGCTGTGCTGCTGCATCTGTCTGGGAGCTTGTGCACTTGGTTACTCTAGAGCTGTAAGTATATTCATTTATTTAACTTTTGAATGCTTTTTTTCAAGATTTTTCATATTATGAAAAATTTAAATAAGATAGGCCTAACATAATACCATTCAAAAGTTTTGGGTCTGTAGATTTTTTTTTCTGTAGTGTTTTTGAAAGTGTATTGCGCTCACCAAGGCTGCATTAAAAAATACACAAAATATATATATATTTTTTAAATAAACTAAAATTTTAAATTTAATAAAAAAACAGATTTTTAATGTTTGTTATGTTATCATATAACTTGATGAAACACAATGAATAACCTACACATATATTTCACTATATTTAAACATCATGTTTTTATTCCTGGGGACATAAATTATTATTATCTGATAGAACACAAATTATGTAATGCAGCAAAATATGTTTGTGAATTGATGTGATCTGTCATGCGTCTTTCATTTTTTTTTACTTTATTTATGAATATGGTATGTTTACTGTTATACAATGTGTTGAAGATTGTGATACACTGCATTAGAATATTTACAGTAGACTTTTTTTTTAATGAAAGCTGTCTGATAACCCAGAACATTTGTTTTTCCCACTTTTTCTCTTCCTGTATAAAAATATATTTGTTGGGATATTTCCTTGTATTAAAAGTATAAGCATTCTTTATGCACTCAACCACAAAATCTACTGATTCTAATGTATACCATGCTATTAAAATAATTTATAATTTTATGTCATGGGCCACATCTTCAGTTCTGACCTCAATCTTTTCTTTTTCCTTATTTTACCAAATAAAATCAGCCACAGCGCAGAACACAAATACACAGAAATTTACAGAAATTAAATTAAATCACTCAGGAATTAAAGAGTGCTAGTGGTTTGGAAAACTTCACACATTGGATGAGAAGCATCATATCTCATATTAGTACAATATCAGACTAGGATGTCAAATGTTTAATCTGTATTATTATTAATACTGTATTACTGTTAGACAGCTAAACAAAATAATTTACTTGAGGTTATGACAAAAATGCTCTATTTATAAATGTCTAAAATTTGTCTATTAACACAAATATCATTCAACTAAAAACATTTTTGGAAATTAATGAAAGCTTGTTTAGTTTTTGAACGAATCTCTTGAATAAATGATATAATGATACATCAATCAATTCTACTGACATATATATATATATATACTGTATATATTAGAGACCATCTCCCTTTGAAGCGTGACATTAGTTTCATTACATTACATTTACATTTATTCATTTAGCAGACGAGTAACATAAAAATGAGAATAATAGAACATTTGAATTTGCTTTCAAAAGATGGTTACCACATAACAAAAATATTGGGGGGGGGGGGGGGACTTTATAATGCTGAGCTCGAATTAGTAGGCCTATTTGCATATGCACAACTCTTTCTAGTCGCCATTATTCACATTTTCTCTGCAGCATATTGTGGTTTGCATTTTCCAGTAACCTGTTTTTCAGTCTTTTGACATTTGCGATTTTACTTTTACTTTCACAGACTCAAAAAGCAAACATTGCTGGACAGAGGGCTAAAGCAGCGAGCAACTCTAAAACTGCACTCGTCCTGAACCATCTCGGTGTTGTCGTGGGCTTAATCTGCATTACACTATATCTCCTCGACACCTTTTACTTTGAAGGAAAACTTTTACCTTTCTAAAGTTACCCCATCCAATGTTTTCATAATGTTAGATGAATCATTGTGTGAGATGATACATTGACAAAATGTATGAAAATAAATGTCATTTCATTTTTTAATTGTTGAAATAAATGCTTCAGAAGTACAAGTTTTTGTATGCTAAATCTGACAAGAGATTTTGTGAATAATAAAAAAATCCATGAACACCCTGGTGAAAAATAAATTAAGCAAAATGTATTTATACATTAAATGTATAAATACATTTATTTTATGCCAATGGGATGTGTTTCACCACATGTTTCAGTAGTGACAATTAAAGATACTACTGAGCCTATAGTTCAAAGATGAAAACCAGCACATTGGTGAGTAGCACAGTTATGAACAGTTGTACACATCATGGGGATTGGGAAATGAATGGTCATGAAGCAAAGAGGCTTTCCCCTGACTGTTCCGGCAAAAGATTCAAAGCTTCGAGAGTGTCGAGAACAGCGCCATTTGGTGCTTTTTTAAAATAAAGCCAGAAGTCCTGTCAGATGAAGCAACCACAACACACTCCATTGTTTCAATGTTTTTATTTAACGGCTCATCCGAAAGGACGGAGCTCTTTGACCCACACATACCCCTTTTTCATCAAGGCAGAGCTGGTGTGGAACCAGAGCCTAGTTTCAAATTGGTTCTTTGTTTTTCGACCACCAAAGCACCAGCTCCGAACCAGTAAAAGTGGTTCTTAAGTAGCACCAAATCATTGCTGGTCTAGAAGTAAGAACTGCTTACGTCAGCAGCAGCGGGCGGGGTTGCCGTGAGCAACAAGACAAACAGAAACCGCCATTGGGACCGCCATTTTTTTAAAATAGCAGCTAATCGTGCTAATAGCAGCTCGATTGTAATCTCCGTTAATGCAAGTTACGGCGAGCTGCACGATACCGATGTTGGATACCGATGTCGGTTTGCATAAATAGTAACGCAACGACCCACATTGTTGATAGAAGTCTTGTTCGAGATGCATCGGAGTGGTGTGGACTGATCGGAGCTGCGGGAGTGTTTGGAGAGCATACGACTCCTTCTGCTTTTGGATCGCTCTTGCAGTTCGAGATTCGCAGTGCCGATCCATCCCGAACAAGCCTAGTGTGTTTGTGTGTGCCACGCTAGCGTTGCTAGGCAACATGAGATGTACACAGTGATGTAAGATCTGGCTCTGTGATGGCTCTCTAGCCTGTGGAAAGGCAAACAGGTTCTTTAAAAGCTCGTCATTCGAACCAACTCCGCACCGGCACTTGCTCTAGCTCTGAACCAGCACCTGGTTCTTGTTGGTGTCAGACCACAGGGTGAGCGCCCCTGCTGGCCTCACTAACACCTCTTCCTGCAGCAACCTGGTTTTCTCAGGAGGTCTGCCATTCAAGTACTAACAGGTTCAGCCCTGCTTAGCTTCAGTGGGCAACCAGTCTTGGGTGCTGGCGTATATAAAAACTAAATTTTTTGTAATACACCCAAAAATCTTTGCTTAATTGCAGAAAAAAGGTGTTTGGTAGTGATGTCCCTTAAAGTTACACACAGATATTCAGACTTTTGAACACATTTCCCTTAGTAAATATCTAAAATTTGAATACTTCAATGATTTTTAAATGTTTTTTGGGTTGTCAGACAGCAGCTTGCACCAATTCTGTAAAATGGTGATGGCACCTACAGTCAAGTAGATACCTACAGTCAATACTATGTGGAAACTATGTGTGATGAGGGAACTGAATCTGTCACTGCTTATAACTCCTCCTACAATCCACCTACTGTATATAATTGCTGTAAATCATCATGTGACTATACTGAGCCAAAGTCTGTGGCCGAGAAAAACTTGATTCCTCTTAGCCAGAGTCCACAAAGGTGTGTCTCCTCTCTGAGTACAGAGAAAATAAGACAAGACAGAACAATGGAGCCCCAGGAAAACTGGAATACATCTGAGAAATCCAAGTTGTTGCAGCCTGGGCCACCACCATACCAGGACCATTATGGAAACCCTCCTCCAGGGAGCTTTCAGAGCACCTCTGGTTATCAAAGCCAGCCGTACGGCGCTCCAGGACCATACGGCCAAGGACCGTATCCAGGTCATCCTGCTGTCACCGTGCAGCCGGCAGTTTATTTGACCAACACCCCACTGGCCTATCCGCAGCCAGATTACCTGGGCTATTCCATCTTTACCCTGCTGTGCTGCTGCTTTCCTCTGGGCATTGTTGCTCTAATTTACTCCATCAATGTAAGTATTAGTTCACATACCTTTCTTAACCCTTTCTGAACTGATACACTAACCCTGGCTGATCATAAAATGTGATTTTTCACTAATTTAACCATCTTTTCTATTAAATCTTAACTGTTTTTGTTTTTTAAATGGTATTAAATCTCTTACGATATACAAGAAACAGCTGAAAAGTCATCTCTTCTGAGAGCATAAACTTAAAAGTAATTCTGCTCTCAGTTTTAGTTAATCACTTCCTGTTCTTGCTTGTATTCTGAATGATGTCTGAAACTTTTTATCTTGTGTTTATTTCCTCATTGAATGAGAAACTGGTCACATTAACTGGTGAACTACCCATTGGCTATGGTCTTCAAGACTTTGTTAAAATAAATGGATGACAATGTTTTGTTAATTAAAAAAAGAGAGATCACAGTCTAAATAACAAGTGTTTTTTAGTGTTCAAAAATCTTTATCATTCAAATAATCGTGATTACTCATGACTGGCATTCAAACCAAAAGTAGTTCATGTAGCTTCACCATTCCTAACATTACTGAGCAGATCTTCATCTCCATTTACTCAAGCATATATTGTTCCCATAAATTATGTGACATTTTAGTATTGAGAATTAGGTACTACACAAAGTCCCAATTTTACTATTGCTTTGTGCACATCTGGGAAATTTCTCTCTATAAATTGACAATGTAAAGCTGCTAAAGCAACTAAGCTACTACACTTTTGTTGTCCTGCAATAGCTGATCGTTAAAGAATGAATTAAAGACACCAAATGAGTTTGATGGTTCATAAAAAGGAAATGCAATAGATGATGCTTTAGATACAGGAAATGAAATCATTACAGGACTCTAAAGTGTATATGAAACTTGCTCTGGGGTTCCATATTGCCCAAAAAGTCACATTGAGTATAATGCAGATTACAGCTGGTGTATCATTGTTCCACATTTTAGTCATGAGCAACCATGTGACACTGTTAGTATTATAGACCCCATCATTGCTTTACTACGATATAAACAGTTTAATCACACTTGTTCAGAAAAAACTCAGAATGGGTTCTGGAAAACACAAGTGACATTATGTTTCAATTGTATTTTCACAGACTAGGAATGCCAACATGTCCGGACAACAACAAATAGCAGAGAGAAACTCCAAAATGGCGCGCACTGTTAACCATATTGCTCTTGGTATTGGCCTTGCCGTCTTAGTGTCGTACACTATCTACATCATTTTTGTGGTTGTTCCGCATAAACATCAAACAACACCTCCTTAACTGTCAGACATATCAGCTGGACAACAGGAATGAGGGCTTTCCAAAAATAACATCATATAATGTCACAAGTATCATTTTATAACCACATTGCGATGCTTTTTAAACTACAAACTAATGTGCAGTTTCATATGACTGACTATGTTCGGCTCATCTCTAATGTAAAATTATTAATGTGACTAAAACATGCTTTAAAGTTGATTATCTTATGTTTCATAATGCAAACTCTCACTGTCAAAATATACAGGCCTATTGATGTTTGTTTTTCTTCCTGTCTTTTGATTATATTTAATAAATAAAAAAATCAATGACAAAAAAACAGTGCTCTTTTCCTTCTTTATTTATAACCATTGATGTTGTCACCCAAATACTCTCTATTCAGATTCCCGAAAGAATCACTCTCATAAGCCGGTACTTATTACAAATACTGAATTAATCTAACTGATTTACTTAACCACAATACTTTAGTTATGTCCTATTTGAAATGAACTGAGGACTATTTGGCTATTTGGAAATCTAAAAAGATGCAACCCAAGACTATAGAGTTCTAAAGTTACAATAAGCAGACATGGCCAAACTGAGCCTTTTAAATGATCTTTTTTAGGTCAATTTCTTTGCAATAATATGCCCACTCCAATCCATTCAGATTCCAGAAGGAGTGACTTGGACTTTTATGAGCCAGTTGAGGATGAGTGAATCAAAAACATACAGCACGACCAGTCCGATTACCGAATGAATGACTCTTATTTTTGCCAGTTCTTTAATTAAAACTCTTATGAGTGGTTACTGAATTAATCTAAATCATTTATTGAATCAAAAGTTATAAAATTTGTTATGACCTAATCAAAATGAGAGATTGGCGAATGCAGCTGACCATTTGAGTGACTTCAGGTTGAAAAAAAGCTCAAATTCCCTCAATATATGTGGGAAAGGCAATAGTCTGAAGTCTTAAGCCGAGTAGACCACAGACTGCACGATTTTAGCCCTGATTTTCACTTGCTGACTGATTTCGCAAAATCCTCGACAAATGCCCAAAATCGGAGGCAAATCGGTGCTCGTTTATGCGAGTGACAATCAGCAGTGTGCATTAAGGCACGATCTGGGAGATTTGACGGAAAGGCTCCTTCTGTCTATTTGGTCTATTCTCTGCACGATCCTGCAGCTGAGAAATTATGGAGCTATTAATATGACATGATTTGAATTTAAAATGGTAAATTTGAATTATTTGCAAGTGTAATCTAACAAAGTTGAATTTTAGATAGTAGTTTAAATAGTTCTGAATTTGAATCTCTTTTTGTAACGAATGAAATTGATCAAACTGAAAGGTTTTTATGGCTGAGTTTTATAGACAAGTATTTTCAAACAGCTAGTGTTTTTGTTCTGAATTCAAATACTGCAAATATTCAGTTAAAAAAATACAGATTCAAGGTTTCAAGTTGAAGAAATTCAGAACTTCAAATTCAGTTTTCTAAAATTCAATGTCAAAAATGCAGGTCTTACTGAAAGTAGGTCACAGGTCATCCACAGGGAAGAGTTGATCTCAGAAAGTCGAACAGAGCATTTTGGCCAATTTGGGACTGCAGAAGTTTTCCAGCTGAACTTGTTGGTGGTTCAAGAGGCTGCCACTCTCTGACTCGGATCATGAATCGCCTGGAGTGATTAAACATTTATGATTTTGTGTTTATATGTTATATAGCACAAGACATTTGTCTAAGAGGTCTCTGGTGTCGGTTTATTTTGAGTAAAACTGATTAGAACGCCACCCTGTCTACTACAAATTTTGCGAGCGGCGCGACGCAACACAGTGCTTGACGTGACTGTTGCAAAGAGCTAGGACGTGGTCAGAAATAGGATGGGGAATCCGTGTGCTGTCAGGGATTTGATAAAGCGATTACCCATAAAACTAGCATTTGGACCAATCGGATCGCTTGGGTCCTTCAGTGGGACTCATCTCTCTTCACCACAACGGCCGCGTGTGTAAGCGGTTGTTCTTTGTGTTCCGTGGTCGCGTCACGTGGTTCGGAGCGCGCGTGTTGAACAAAAAGTCTTTGAGGTAAAATTACTAAAGAGATAGTTCGTATAAGTTAACTTATTTTTATGTGAGATGAACTTGGTAGAATACTTAAGAAAAATACGAAACTTTTAAACAAAACAAAAGAACAGAAAGGATTTCCCGAGGGGGAAATCCCAGTTACGCAACATGACATATAAAAACAGGATTCGTTCTGGGAGGATCACGTTCCACTTTGGTCATACAGTTTGCTTGTAACTGGACACCCCGCTTGGCGTGTTGTTTGGGGGTTGCTTGTGTGTGTGCATACGTGCCTGTGAGATGGATGCATGGGAGACTCCAGATTCTCTATGCTCTACAACTGTTTTGAGGAGATCAAACGTTGTATGGCTTTAAGGAATTGCCTTACCCTGGAAACAGTGGTTTAAAACGTTTTAGTGGGCTCAATTTCTCAATCAGTTATCCTCAGTAGTCACATGATGGAAACAGAGGCAAAAAATCTTGTCACACCCCTACAACTACAACTCGCCTCCCATTTGCTGCTGCCTGTAGGCTACATGAGAGCATGAAATAGAGTACAGCAAGAGGACAACAACGGGATATTGCAATCAAATTCGAAACTAAATAAGTAGAAAAATGAATCCCAGCAATCAGCCCGACGGTGCCTGGAATTTGTCTGAGAAATCAGGAATGCTGCAGCCTACACAACCACCACCAGCATACCAGGACATTCCTGCTGGATATCCTCAATCGTTCACAAGCCAGCCAGTGCCCCAGGGCCCCTATGCCCAAGGGCCATATCCAGGGCAATCCGTGGTCTCTGTGGTCGCCGTGCAGCCTACAGTGTTTGTGACCGCCGCTCCACTGGCCAATCCAGTGCCAGATTACCTGTGTTATTCCATCTTTACCATGGTGTGCTGCTGCTTACCTCTGGGCATCGCTGCACTGGTTTTCTCCTGCTCTGTAAGTATTAGTACCTTCCTTTTATTTATGAACTATTTATTTAATTTACTCAGTCTTAAGCATAATTAAACCTAACATCTCATTATAAATCAAATCAAACATTTTCTTGGTTATGCTTATAAAACTATTTTTTTTTATTATTTTTAAATCCCTGAGTGATGTTTAAAGTCCCCGTGAACCGGAAGTTGCAAACGATTTTTCTCTAGTGCTGTGACGTATTTCCAAGTGAAACGGAATATTGAACAGAGGGCAGGGTTTTACTCTAGCGCTCCTCCTCTCCATCTGTCGCTCATAGCAAACTAACGGTTTGAGGGGAGTGGTTAAGCGTTTCCCCACCCAAACTGTGAAACCTACGTCATCAGAAAAAGAAACCGTTCCAGACCGGAAGTAACTTTTCAGATTTTGATTAAAGATTACTAAGGTAAAACATTTTTTTAATTTATATTCACTTGCACGGATTAATTGTTCACCACAAGACTAGTAATATGCGCTAACAAAGTAAATAGGTTCAATTTTGATTTCACGGGGACTTTAATTATTATTTTTTTAAACATAAATTCATTTGTGAAGCATTAATACTAATCATAATTGGTTAAAAAAATATTTCATGAATATTTGAATAACATCATGTGTAGCTTCTGTGGAAATATCAATTTGGATCTGCTAAATTATCAACTTGGTTTTTAATATAATAAGTTGTTTGCAAAAAAAACCTGATTGCATTCTGGAGAGCTATAATAAGAAACAAGTGGAAACTTGTTAAATTACTTTATAAAGTCACCATTTGTACATTTCTGAAGGACAGAAACGCATAAATCCCGTCTTGATCCCCTTAATTATTTATCCTTTACCCGTACTCTGCTTTATTGCATCACACCGAATACCGATGACTTAAAGTGAAATACCACATAATTCTACACCATTATGACTGCAAATTTACTCAATAGACACAGTACAGTTAGGGAACAACTGGTAATCTAAAATGTGTTGAATTTTAAAATTTATCTGAGAAGCTTGATTAGTTGCTTCAGGTGTGTTTGAATGGGTTAAAGCTATTGTAAACAGCTGTCGTTTAATGTCGCTTGACACTCAGTCTGTCAAAGTTTGGCAAAGCAGCCCGAACCGGTCAAACTGATTCTGAAACTGAATGAAACTGAAACTGACTCAAAATGACTAGTAAACATCTCTGGAATGAAGATCCATGAGCAAACCAATATTTTTGAGCACTCAGTTCAATAAAATGTTTCCAGGCTGCAAGCATTTGCATTAGCATTAACATTAATTTGCATTATTACCAATAAAAAGTTAATTAAATCTTTAAAACATACACAGTTGAAGACATACAGTTGTGACTTGATTTTAATAATTTTGAGAATTCCCCCCTGTGCCATTGGCTCATAGAAATTCACAGACTCGAAATGCCAACCCCTCAGGAAAGAACTCCAACACTTTTATTTTGAAAAACAGTACTTTTTCCTTATTTTTTTTTCTTAATTATTGAAAATACATTTTTAGTAATTAATAACATAAATATATTCCAAGTGTATATGAGACTGCCGTCTTATTTGCAAACTGTAAATCTAACCCATTTGCAATGCATTTTCTGTTCTCTTTTATATACCGTGGCCGAGAAAGCACAACACACTGCAAATGAAGAAAACACATGATGCAAATAGAAAAAATACCAGCAAAGTTTTTTCAGTACCTACCTACAGTTTACTGCCATTACTTAGTGTTTTATCATATTTTTGGTTGTGCACTGGAGTCCAAAAGTCCACAACTGAAAATGCTTATATTTAGTATAGTTTTCAGATTTCTTATTAAAACATTGCTAAATGCAATACAAAAACATTAAAGTGCAAGCATTAAAATAATATGTGAATATATTCAGAAAGGAGCAGCCCTGTCTGCGTACATCCGTGCGGGACTGCATGCGTGCAGGGATCAAGGCTGAGATCCTGAGCAATCCTGGAACCATCAGAAACCTGACCTGTTTACCCACAGTGCAGCTGTTCCTCTTTATAGAGCTCTCTCAAAAAGGATTTGTCTCTCCTGACCACCCTCTTTCTCGCTCACATACTCGCTCCATTTCCAGCTCTTGAACTTGAACCTTGCTCAGAAATCCATACAGATTCAAGACTACTCGTCTTAAGACTGAATTAAGACGAGTAGAATTGACTCGGAAAAAGATTCGTTCATTTTAAAAACCAACAGACAGACACGAGACAATCTATGGTAGCTCATAAGGGATACAAAATAAAATAAATAAAAAATGCAGCACAAGCAACGACGGGCCACAATAACATTAAACTTTAATGCCAATAGGGGGCCACAAAATGCCACACATTTTATTGTTATAAAAGTTTATTTGTGAGCATAGTGGAAGGTGTTCGACGATCGCACGTGCGGTGAATTCAGCCAATCGTGAAACCACTGTTTCGTCATCATGCAAGAACAGAAAATGCCAAACCAGTTAATCTTGTAGTAGTAACTTTTAAAAACAGATTAACTAGTGCAAAACTGTAAATAATGCACACCAATTACTGATGTTTAAAAACTCGGTGATATGTTTTGTGATTTAGTTTTTACCACTTCTATAAATCAAATATACAACAATATAGGTTATTTCTCATTTTCTTCTTAGTTCTTTTTGTGTGAAGACTGTTGATTTGTTTTTATGCATGTCATTTAAGAAAGGTTTTATACCAATATTTGTAATATTACTGTAATTTACTTTCACAGACTCGGGATGCTAACATGTTTGGACAACAACCAGTAGCAAGAAGAAACTCCAGAATGGCTCTCATCCTTAACCATGTCAGTGTTGCTGTTGGCATCATCCTCTGGTTAAGCTTTGTCATCTATATGATTATTGTTGTCATTGCAATTAAAAACATTTGATATAACAGTAACTATAGACCATACAGACCATAAGTGTAAGAAATATCATAGTAGGACACCAGAAAGCTATAGATGGTGAGGGGAACATTAACATGTTTTGAATACACAGGCATTGGGTGGTCTGCTTTTAAATGTTAGTGTTTCTCAAGTTATTGATATGAGAGCTGTAAGACTCCAAATGCATAAGGAGCTTAATCTATAGGGCCAGTGAGGAATGATTTGTATATTTCATGCAACTCATCTGCATTATTATAATTTACATAATTAATACACATTTTTTTAAAAGTTCATTATTGTATTTTTAAAACAATGAAAGCTTTGACTGTACATGTATCATCAATTAAAACATTTATTTTTCTTCTTACCTCTATGTCATTTCATAAAACTTTGGTTATCAATAAGAAATGGGTCCCACTTTATATTAAGTGGCCCTAATCCCTGTGAACTTACATGACATGTGTTGTCACCAATGTCCTGTTACACATTTGTAGCCTACTTACACTTGCCATTCCGTGGGTGTTACATTTGTGTAGTTACACAAATATTAAAGCTGTAGATACTATGTACCAATGTGTACTTACACTGTAATTAAATACTACACATGTAGTTATCATGTAAGTTTACAGGTATTAGGCCACTTAATATAAAGTGGGACCAAGAAATGAATTTAACATTATGAGTCTATGATCAAACTATAAAAAAAAGTATCTGAAAGACAATTGTCTGTTTTCCATACTTACATTTTCTAATGTTTGGCCTCCTATGGTTCGAGTCCCACCTGGAGCGGTGTGAGCAGAATTGGAGGAGTTGCATTTGGTGCCGTGACCCGGAAGTGAGGTTTAGGGTAAGGGTAACGGAGGCCAGGTAGTTAGAGCTGTGCAAGTAAACTTCATCCTCCTGGCCACCGGAGGCGCACTACGGCGACTGATAATAGAGGATGCAATCTTTAGAGTCCTTGTTTGCATGCCCAACACCTCTATGATTGGGTGTCATCAGTCATGACGTGTCCTTCCCTGATTCATTCTAGTTAATTAGAATGAATCTAATTCATTCTAAGAGATTAATTCTAATAAGCAGATAAAAGAGATCATATTCGTTTTAATTCTCTGTTTTTAAATGAAAACGCAGTAGTGTGGATGGGGCCTCAGTCAGTAACACTTAAAACTCACACAAGAATTTGAATTATTAAGGATTGCTTAGTATCATTTTAAAGGTCTCAGGGTGACTGGTACAAATGTCTCATTCCCAAAGAAGTAAATCAAAAGGTAAAAAAGTTCTTAAGTTACAGTGAAGATTGAATTGAGTTGGTTGGACAAAGCTATTTTACTCTTCCTCAGTCAGTTATCCTCAGTAGTCATAGTATGATGGAAACAGTGCCAAAAATAGATTGTCACACCCCTAAATCTACAACTCGCCTCCCATTTGCTGCTGACTGTATATGAGAGTATGAACCAGAGTAAAGCACTACATACGTACCTGGAGAGGACAACGAAAGGATATTGCAATCAAATTCAAAACTAAATAATTAGAAAAATGAATCCCAGCAATCAACCCCACGGTGCCTGGAACTCATCGGAGAAATCAGGAATGCTTCAGCCTACACAACCACCACCAGCATACGCATACCAGGACATTCCTGCTGGATACCCTCAATCCTTTCCTAGCCAGCCAGCGCCCCAGGGCCCCTTTGCCCAAGGGCCATATCCAGGCCAATCCGTGGTCACCGTTCAGCCTACAGTTTTCGTGACCGCCGCTCCACTGGCCAATCCACTGCCAGATTACCTGTGTTATTCCATCTTTACCATGGTGTGCTGCTGCTTACCTCTGGGCATCGCTGCACTGGTTTTCTCCTGCTCCGTAAGTTTTAGTAACTTCCTTTTATTTATGAACTATTTAATAAATTTACTTATAATTAAACATAATTAAACATAACATCTCATTATAAATCAAATCGAAAAAGCATTTCATGCGATAGAGAAGTCAAAATGTTTAGGCATGTATTTACCATGGTATACATTTTAGTGTTAGGGAATGTAAAATATCTAAAATATAAAGAGCAAGGAGCTTTATTAACATCAAGTTCATTATTGCAGGGATTCATTATTTATTTATCATTAAAGCACGCAAAGAAAAAAAACTATAGAAAAATTATTATTTATACTGTATGAACAATTATTTCTATTCTAATTTGTGGTTCTTTGGGGCAAAAAAAGTTTTTCTGTTGAGTATCATAATGAGCCATCAATGGTCATGTTTATAAATGGATAAAAAAGTAATAATTTTGTGGTTTGGAGTATGGATGGATGGATATTCTGCTCTTACATCAGTTTATAGATGGAAACAAAATGTATTTAAAAAAAATATATATATATATATAATTATAAATACATATTTAGCATAAAACGTATGTATAATGTATAAATGTATGTATAAATAATGATTTCTGTCGAAATCGGGAACTCAGGAAGAAAAAAAAATGACCCACTTATTTTAATATGTGTTTGAATGTGCAAGCCTTAAGCAAAATGATCCCACACATTATGGGTGATTCAATACTCAAGTGATTATAGTAATTTATTAGAAAAAACAAATAAATGTTTTGATCTTGACATTCAGTGCTTAAATAATTTCATAACTAAAATAGGGATGCAACTAAACAAGTCAGGGCTCGTTACAATTTAAGCTTGTGGGGTATGCAAGTATTATAAAGGTCCATCTTGCAAATAACTGCCATGCTTCACTGATAAATACACAGTTGGGCGTTGGTTTAAGTTTTTTGTCTCATAAATGTCTTTCAATTCCTGGAAAGAGGAGTGTCACTGCAGACCTCCAACAGCAATGCTTTTTTAAAGAAAACTATTTAGTTCAATCCAGTATAGGCTGACTGAAAACGAAAGAAAGGAATCAGTGTTCAATCAAAAATTGAAAGTAAATGTAACAGCATGTTATAGTCACACAAATTATTAGAAAAGTAAAGTTTACACTTTCTCTAAATAAATTGTACTCACCATTTATAACATTTTCTTAGGTTATGCTTATATAAATATTTTTCATGTTCATATTTATTATTTTTAAATTCCTGAGTAATGTTTATCTCTCTCTTATTTTTTTTTTTTGGTTAAAAAAATATTTCATGAATATTTGATTTTTTTTTCTTCAATTTTTGAATTATACATTTATTAACAAGTTATTAAAAGATAAAACAAAAATAAATAATGTTCTGTCCACAATTCTCTTTTACTACAAAAACAATAGAACGGGGTTATATAAGCTATTGCCATCACACATAGGCTATTATGCTGGAAAGATAAAATTAATTTACTTTACATTAAATATCTGCCTAAATTATGTTGAAATGTGAAAAACTATTTACAAGCAAAAACATTTCATCACAGATGTAAGTGGCTAACATCTGCTAAATTATCAACTTGGTTTTCAATATTTATAACAAGAAGTTTGCAAACGTTATCCAAAATCCTGATTGCATTCAGAGCTATAAGAAACAAGTGGAAACTTGTTAAATGACTTTATGATGAAGATAATGAAGTCACCATTTGTACATTTTTTAAGGACAGATAGAAACACATAAATCCAGTCTTGATCAACTTAATTATTTATTCTCTACCCGTGCTACTCTGCTTTCTTGCATCACACGGAATACCGATGACTTAAAGTGAAATAGGCCTACCACATAATTCTACACCATTATGGCTGCTAATTTTACTTAGACACAGCTAGGGAATGGTTGGTAAACTAAAATGTGTTGAATTTTAAAGTTTATCTGAGAAGCTTGATTAGTTGGTTGGTTCAGGTGTGTTTGGTGAAAGCTAATGTAAATAGCAGATGTTTAATGTCACTTGACACTCCTGTCATCGCTTGGCAAAGCAGCCCGAACAAGCCAAACTCATAGAAATGACTAATTACAAAGTAAACAACTCACTCAGAATGAAGATCCATGAGCAAACATATTTTTGAGCACAGTTCAATGAAAGATTTCATGCAACATAGGTTTTGCATTAACATTCATTTGCATTATTACCAATAAAAAGAAAATTAAATTTTTAAAACGTACACAGTTGTGACTTGGTTTTAATAAAGAAACATCAAAATATTATTCTGATTGTGTGTAGTGTTTCAAACACCTTTGACCTGAAACATTGCAACATGGCATCATGATTTTGTGTAAACATACACGCCACTTTCAAGTCAAGTGGCTTGTTCTATACGCATTTTGAGCTATCCGCGTGTATTGTGTTATGTCTCATAGACATATACACTAGACCTCACCTTGGGGTTCTAAGCATGCGTCAAAACTGCCGCCATCTTGGAACAGGAGTCTTGTCATAGGAAGTAGTAACGCTGCTATCTCTGCCTTTACGTCGAATTCATTGATGGTGGCGGGCTTTTGTGCAGCGTATGATGTTCACGGATGAAATCTGAACTAGAAAGAAAGAAAAAAAAAATTTCTTTCTGGAATCAATGATAAATACATGTCTAACCGTTGGAACAAACCAAAAAAACAAGAAAAATCGCATTCATGATGATTTATGGTGACTTTATTTCCGTTAGACCTGTGTCTACTACATTGACGCTGATGCATTCAAGTGGAGGGGCTCCCCTGTTTCAAGATGGCGGCTCTATTGACGCATTCGTTCCAATGAACTGCCGTAGCAAGGTGACATCTAGTGTATCTATGGTTATGTCTAACCGTGTACGCATGATTACGCGCGATTAAATGTCCGAGCGAAACGAAGCAAAATGTATATTTTTTCCTAGGATGGTATGGGGAGACTTATAAATCGTATTAACCCTAGTGACGGGTAGATTTAGGGCCGGGGTTGGGGTAGGTCATATATTTATATATACAGTAATGAAACGTTAAGTCAACGGCGTTCATAAACACGAAAAGCGATTAGGTATTCGTGTTGATAGCACGCCAAAAGCACGCCCAGTTAAAATTTCTATGTTGAATGGAAAACGCAAGTGCCCTCATTTGAGAATTCCCCCCTGTACCAGTGACTCATAGAATGACATCAGAAGTGGTTAACATTATGTTTTACTATTGTTTTCACAGACTCGAAATGCCAACTACTCGGGCCAGCAAGCATTAGCAGAGAAGAACTCCAAAACGGCACGCACCCTGAATCATGTTGCCCTTGTTGTTGGTCTTGTTGGCACTGTATTGGTGATTGTCTTGGAGGTTGTTGTTATTAAGAATAGATAACAGCTATAAGAGATGTCATCTTTGGATGCAGATTATAGAAACAGATTTGGTTCTCTGCATTTGAAATGTTATTTGCTCAATGTACTTAAAACATATGATTATGGTATGTTTAAAATCAATGAAATTTTCTTTTGAAAAACACTACTTTTTCTTTTTCTTTTCATAATTATCGAATTACATTTGCAGTCATTAATAAATATATTCAAAGTGTATATGAGACTGCCATCTTATTTTATAGGAAACTGTAAAACTAACCCATTGGCAATGCATTTTCTGTTCTCTTATATATACTGTGGTTGAGAAAGCACGACGCACTGCAATTGAAGAAAACACGTGCAATTAGAAAAAACACCAGCAAATTAAGAAAACAATATCAGTTTGACAACACAACCCAATACAGAAACCTATTACCAGAAACCTATAGAGAAAGGTCCTATTCAAAACCTTTTCTTGGAGGTCTCAGGATACCTATTGAGGGGTTACATATGGAGGGCCCATAAGTTGGGGTGAGGGTGCCATATCGTCCCGTTCGCCTGCGTGGCACCGGCCAGGGAAAAAGGTCCATAATCTGCACTGTCAGCTCCGGAAACCACACCTGGGTTTTCCAGAGAGGGGGCTACTAGGAGGACTTGGCATCTGCTTTTCCTTTATCGTTTCCTTGATCATTTTAAATTCATATCATTAAGATTTTAAGATCTTTTAATACATAAAATTAAGATCAATAACAGAAATATGGAACAATCGCTGTAACACTCAACCTTTTTCTGGTAACTACTTTAATCCATCGATATGTGCAATATATGTGAACGAGAAATGAATCCACATTACAAAAATAAACCAATGTAAAAAATATGCCATTAAAAAATGTGTACTGTTTGACAGCGACACCTGTGGTTAAAGTTACAGCGGGTTGTTGTGTCTCTCTTGCCTCCCTGAGCCCATTGAGTTTGAGGTCTGAGGGGTAATTGAGAATGAATGGGTAAAGTCACAGGAGAGGACGCTGTTCATCAGATTGTACCCACATGCACTTTGTGTGTTTAATGAGTCTTCTTCTCCAGATCTTGGAAGAAACCCCAACTGAAATTAACAATGTGAGGATTTTTTTTTTTTTTTTTAAGTTTTTACATTTTAGTAGAAGAGTTTGTATACTATATAAACCAAGATGTGCAACACAGCTTTCAACCACAACTGTGCAGGAAGTGCTACGTCTGACAGTTTAACACCCACACCTGAGAATTCATGTGAAGTGAAGTGAATTTCGTCATGCAAGCAACTAAAAATACCACGAAGACTCTTGGTTCCCATCAAACAAATCAACACGTAAAAGTGTTTGTCAAATACCCTAAGTATTGATGAACAGGAACCTGGGGCCGGTTGCTCAAAACATTTAAAGGGTTGTTTCATCCCAAAAGGAAAATTCTGTCAGTAATTACTCTCCCTCATGTTGTTCCAACCCCGTAAGACTTTCGTTTATCTTCGGAACAAGAATTAAGATATTTTTTGATTAAATCTGAGAGCTGGATCACTCCTTGATGGCCCAGAAAAGTTAAAGACATTATTAAATCATTAGTCCAAGTGGCTACAGTGGATCTTTCTTTAAGTTTATCAAGCGACGAGAATACTTTTGTGCGCAAATAAATAAATAAACCACTTTATTAAACTACTGAATAAAGTTGAATAACTTCCTCTTTGAACAACCCATTTTCAAGATTTGATCCAATCCGATAACCGAAATCTGATCAGTTTATCTTTGAACAGCTGGCCCCTGATTTTAAAAAAGGAAGAAGAAAAAAGATAAATAAAAAAAAAACATGCTCAGGAATCATTAAATCACCTGGTAATTTTCCTGAACTCATAAAGCTATGTTGACGTCTGCAGTCAAACTGAAAAGTTGGTCAACAACCTGTGCCAAAAATCGTGTCATTCCTCCCCTTCCTGTACCCAGCAACCAATAACCAGAAGAGTAACTTGACACACGTAGCAGATCAGTCTTCACTTGACTACACCAGAGACAGACGTACAGATCTTTCTTATTGCAGGTAAAACACGCATTCCAAGGCAAACATGGATCCCCAAAAGTCTCCAATGGAAGTAGGGAGGCCTTTACTTCCACTTCAGCAGAGGCCTCCAGAATACTCTACTGGATTCCCTCCCTCTGAGAGTTATCCCAGCGCTCCATGTCAACCTGCACAGCATTATGGAGCTCCGGCAGCACCTGTCCAGTACGTACAAGGGCCAAATCTGGTGCAGACTGTGGTCACTGTGCAGCCTCCAGTTAATGTGTCCTTCACTCCACTGACCAATCCAGAGTCAGATTACCTGTGCTACTCCATCTTTACCCTGCTGTGCTGCTGCATGCCTCTGGGATCCGCTGCTCTTGTTTACTCCATCACTGTAAGTACTGGTTCATACACCTGTCTCACCTTGCTTTTACCTTTAAAAAAATGATAGGCCAACTCTTCAAAATGAATAAAAAATAATTTAACCTTTATTTTCAAAATAATATAGGGCATAAATATTGTTTTGAATTTGTTTAGCTCCGTTAAAATCACTTTATATTAAGAGCTAAACAAGACTTCACAGGGTTGGTTCATGTTAGTATATAGGAATCAACGTGGAACTGCAGACAATAGAGCCAGTCAAAATAATGAGGTATTTGTACTAGAATATTAACCAAGTTTCATATTATATAGTTTAAATATGCAAAAACTTACTTAAATCTTCAGAAAGTCTTTATTGTTTACAGCCTGCATTTTTAATGATTAGGCCTATTGAATGTCATGGATCCAGGTTGAATTTAAATCAAAAAAAGATTTTACTAATTGAATCAACATTATATTGAGACGTTGTTTGAACCTCTTCAAAGTTTCAGCATTGTATCTTTAGCATGTTGTTAACCTTTCTACATCTAGGTCTATTAAATGCTGGTCATAGGTCATTAATGCTGTTTTGTGCTTCCAGTAACTTTCGTTTTTAAAGGAAGGGTGTGGCTCGACGCAAAAAAAAAAAAAAAATGTACAAAAGAGTTTTGATGCCATAGAAGAACAAAGAACATTTTAGTGAAACGTTCTCAAAATAACCTCTTTTTTTCTACATTTGAAGAACATTTAAAAATGTAAAGAAACTTTTTCACTATAATGAACCTTTAGTGCAATGGAAATATTCCATGGATGTTAAAGGTTCTTCAACCATTAGTGTGGATAAAGAACCATTATATTTAGGAGTGTATGGTTCAAAAACAACCTTCTCTTTTGAGTAAAAAAATTATCATCGTCATCATGCAAAAATAGAAAATGCCAAACCAGTTGATCTTGTAGTAGCCTAACTTTCGAAAACTAGAGCAAAACTACAAATAATGCACACCAATCACTGATGTTTAAAAACTCTGTGATCGTTTTTTTTTTTTTTTTTACAGCTACAATAGATCAACTATAAAACAATGTTAATTCTCATTTCTTCCTGAGTTGCATTTTGTGTTTTCTTATTGTGTTAATATTCTGACATGTGACCTTTGCATTTCACTACCAATATTTGTAATATTATTGTAATTTACTTTCACAGACTCGGGATGCTAACATGTTTGGACACCAACCAATAGCAAGAAGAAACTCCAGAATGGCTCGCATCCTTAACCATGTCAATGTTGGTGTTGGCATCATCCTCTGGTTATGCTTTGTCATCTATATCATTATTGTTGTCACTGCAATTACAAACATTAGATATAACAGTAACTATAGACCATATGGACCATAAGTGTAAGAAATATCATAGTAGGACACCAGAAAGCTATAGATGGTGAGGGGAACATTAACACATGTTTTGAATACACAGGCATTGGGTGGTCTGCTTTTAGATGTTAGTGTTGCTCAAGTTATTGATATGAGAGCTGTAAGACTCCAAATGCATAAGGAGCTTAATCTATAGGGCCAGTGAGGAATGATTTGCCTTTTTATAATTTACATAATTAAAACACATGCTTTTTTTAAACTTCATGATTGTATTTTAAAACAATGAAAGCTTTGACTGTACATGTATCATCAATTAAAACATTTATTTTCTTCTTTTCTCTATGAAATAAAACTTTGGTAATCAATGAGAAATGGGTCCCACTTTATTGAGAATGAGGAGTTGACGTCATTTTACAGTGCCCCTCCCCTTTCCGCCATGTTGGTAGGATTCCCACGACAAAACAGTATTGATTACGTGTGTTTTTAGCTCGGTAGTAGAGGAGTTTCTCGCAATACCGCACTGTTTTACCATGCCTGGAAGTAACTGCTGCGTTAAAAAACGATAAAAACCCTGGTAACCGATAGCTTCTCCTACCATCATGGCCGACCGGCTCAGACCCCGCCCAAATAGGCACGTGACTCCTCATTCTTAATATTAAGTGGCCCTAATCCCTGCGAATTTACAAGGTAACTACGTGTGTTGAAGCTGTCCTATATCTGACATTACACGCATAGCTAAATAACATAGATTCCTACCTCGTGATGACAAACCGGATTGAGCTACTGAGCATTACAATACAATGCAATTTGAATGTGCAGTGCCTGGTTGTGGAAGAAGACAGTCGCTGCATTAGCTTCCTCTGGATTCCAATGGGCTCTATGCACGGCGGTATTTCCGGTGAAGATGTAAGGATGCTCGATAACTTCCGCCGATCGTATAGTCCAATGCAATACCGAGAATTTATATTGAATTTTATACTCCATGGTTATACAAAAGAAACGTTATGGACGTTTATATTACGTTATATTAAAATTATATTAAATAAACATAACTATGTATAAAATTAGGCCTACATCTAAACGTATGCAAGTTTCGTTTCAAAGACGGGAGGACAGTACATTTTGAAGACTCTGCCATAATCCCGTTTTCCTCGGTTTTCCTCCGCTTAAATCTCCACAACCGGAAATGGACGAGCATCCTTGCGTCAAATGCGGAACTTATGCGTGCATAGCCCATAGGACTGCATGGATGAACTATATCCTCATCTGAGCTGATGAGGGTAAAACATTGTCCGTCTGCTCGCAAATGGTGCAACACACGGACTCTGGGTCAAACATGTATGGGCGAATCATTCCGGTTGCCATTCAACAATCAACATTGGACGTTTTCAAAACCATTTCCCCCACACGCATCGATGGGTGAGTTCAAACTCATTATAATATGCAAAACTGTTATCCATTCACAGAAGTGGGCGTTTAAGTCTTCAGTGCGAGACGCCCATAAAAACCGAAGGTTTTTGAGTTAGGCTCAAAACTAGGGTACAAAATAGCCTATTACTTATTCATTTTGATGTTTTTGAATCCAAAAACCAAGCGAAAGTCATAAGTTGACCTCAGACAAAAATATAGCCTAATAAAATTTAAAAAGCCAGTTCATGACCCCTTTAAGACAAGGTCGGTGAGGATGGGAAAAAATTTCTGTGCAATCTATTTACATTTATGTGAATGTGATAGTGTTATGTCCTACCGTATTTTTGTGTTCGTCCGTGTGTGTGTTTCTTTGTATACTATGTGTCAGGCCACTAGGTGGCAGTAGTGTTTCTTTCTCTGTCTTCTGTGCTGGTGAAGCCAGCTGAGGGTGATCACCTCTGCTGATGGCTGCTCGTTGGGATTTGTCTTCAAAGGAAAAGAAGAATATAAAGCCTGACTGATCTCCACTGAAGGAAGGCTTGTTTTCCTTCTGGTTGGACCTGACCTGTTTGTTGTGTCGGTAATTTGCTGTTACTGATTGGTTGTGACCAATTACAAAACTTGCCCACTTTATTTCTTGTTGGTGTTCAAAGCCTCTGAGTAGTGTTAAGTTGATATACACTTGTTGTTGCTGAACCCAACTGTTATATTGTTTATCTTAATGTTTTCTTTTTCTGTAACACTTTAGAATACGGTTCCTTCGTTAATGAATAACTACACAAGAACCAATGAGTAACACAATATTAACAATCTAGTAACTATTATTAACTAACAAGAAACTCTGATTAACGAACTAAGTATAGCTGCCAACTCTCACGCATTGGCCGTGAGACACCCGCATTTGATTGGTTTCACACGCCACACCCCCGATTTCTCACGCTGAAGTGTCAACCCTCCAGTTTTTCCGGGTTTCTCACGTATTTTAGCTCTTTTACTGTCTTCCCATGTTAGTATTTCCCGTAAAATATCTCGTATTTTTACACTCTGATTGTGTGAGACGTACAAGCAAGCTGCCAACTCTCACGCATTGGCCGTGAGACACCCGCGCTGAAGTGTCAACCCTCCCGTTTTTCTGGGTTTCTCACGTATTTTAGCTCTTTTACTGTCTTCCCATGTTAGTATTTCCCGTAAAATATCTCGTATTTTTACACTCTGATTGTGTGAGACGTACATAGCGCACAGACGAAAGTAGTTCACTATTAAGTAATCAATAACTTCTATTTTTTAATACTTCCCAGAGAACTACTGAAAAAGTTTATTAATAATCTAGTAACTACTATTAACTAAAAGAAACTCTTATTAACGAATTAGTAAGTAATAGCTCACAGATGAAAGTGTTACTAGATACTTCTGTGGGAATTACTAATTATTTGGATCCGTATTATAAAGTGAAGATCATTGGAACTAGTAATGACTCAAGTGTTATACATGATCTAGTCATGATTTGTGCAAACGTTTGAGTTTTTTGGTGGACTTTAGTATATAGAAAATGTCTTTAGTAACACTTGAGTATACTAGTTAGTTCCAATGATCTTCACTTTATAATACAGATCCAAATAATTAGTAATTCCCACAGAAGTATAGTAACACTTTCATCTATGAGCTATACTTACTAATTCGTTAATAAGAGTTTCTTTTAGTTAATAGTAGTTACTAGATTGTTAATATTGTGTTACTCACAATGTGGTTCTAGTTATTCATTAACGAAGGAACCTTATTCTAAAGTGTTACCCTTTTTTCTTGTATATAGACAAAGTGGAAGTCTAGGGAGTGGGTGCCCTTTTTATGCTTTTCTCCTGTTTAAGGTAGAGAGGGAGTTGGGGAACTATTCTGTTGTTTCTTTCCTTTTTCTTTCATTAAGGTAAGTGTAGATTTGGTCCCTACAGTTAGAGGTTTTGTTTGTGTATTTGCATCATCCTCTGGTTAAGCTTTGTCATCTATATGATTATTGTTGTCATTGCAATTAAAAACATTTGATATAACAATAACTATAGACCATACAGACCATAAGTGTAAGAAATATCATAGTAGGACACCAGAAAGCTATAGATGGTGAGGGAACATGAACACATGTTTTGAATACACAGGCATTGGGTGGTCTGCTTTTAGATGTTAGTGTTTCTCAAGTTATTGATATGAGAGCTGTAAGACTCCAAATGCATAAGGAGCTTAATCTATAGGGCCAGTGAGGAATGATTTGTATATTTCATGCAACTCATCTGCATTATTATAACTTGCATAATTAATACACGTTTTTTTAAAAGTTCATTATTGTATTTTTAAAACAATGAAAGCTTTGACTGTACATGTATCATCAATTAAAACATTTATTTTTCTTCTTACCTCTATGTCATTTCATAAAACTTTGGTTATCAATAAGAAATGATTTCAACTTTATAATGAATTTAACATTATGAGTCTGAAGATTTATTTGATCAAACTATAAAAAAAAGTATCTGAAAGACAATTGTCTGTTTTCCATACTTACATTTTCTAATGTTTGGCCTCCTATGGTTCGAGTCCCACCTGGAGCGTTGTGAGCAGAATTGGAGGAGTTGCATTTGGTGCCGTGACCCGGAAGTGAGGTTTAGGGTAAGGGTAACGGAGGCCAGGTAGTTAGAGCTGTGCAAGTAAGCTTCATCCTCCTGGCCACCGGAGGCGCACTACGGCGACTGATAATAGAGGATGCAATCTTTAGAGTCCTTGTTTGCATGCCCAACACCTCTATGATTGGCTGTCATCAGTCATGACGTGTCCTTCCCTGATTCATTCTAGTTAATTAGAATGAATCTAATTCATTCTAAGAGATTAATTCTAATAAGCAGATAAAAGAGATCATATTCGTTTTAATTCTCTGTTTTTAAACGAAAACGCAGTGTGGATGGGGCCTCAGTCAGTAACACTTAAAACTCACACAAGAATTTGAATTATTAAGGATTGCTTAGTATCATTTTAAAGGTCTCAGGGTGACTGGTACAAATGTCTCATTCCCAAAGAAGTAAATCAAAAGGTAAAAAAGTTCTTAAGTTACAGTGAAGATTGAATTGAGTTGGTTGGACAAAGCTATTTTACTCTTCCTCAGTCAGTTATCCTCAGTAGTCAGTATGATGGAAACAGTGCCAAAAATAGATTGTCACACCCCTACATCTACAACTCGCCTCCCATTTGCTGCTGACTGTATATAAGAGTATGAACCAGAGTAAAGCACTACATACGTACCTGGAGAGGACAACGAAAGGATATTGCAATCAAATTCAAAACTAAATAATTAGAAAAATGAATCCCAGCAATCAACCCCACGGTGCCTGGAACTCATCGGAGAAATCAGGAATGCTTCAGCCTACACCACCACCACCAGCATACGCATACCAGGACATTCCTGCTGGATACCCTCAATCCTTTCCTAGCCAGCCAGTGCCCCAGGGCCCCTTTGCCCAAGGGCCATATCCAGGCCAATCCGTGGTCACCGTTCAGCCTACAGTTTTCGTGACCGCCGCTCCACTAGCCAATCCACTGCCAGATTACCTGTGTTATTCCATCTTTACCATGCTGTGCTGCTGCTTTCCTCTGGGCATCGCTGCACTGGTTTTCTCCTGCTCCGTAAGTTTTAGTAACTTCATTTTATTTATGAACTATTTAATAAATTTACTTATAATTAAACATAATTAAACATAACATCTCATTATAAATCAAATCAAAAAAAGCATTTCATGCGATAGAGAAGTCAAAATGTTTAGGCATGTATTTACCATGGTATACATTTTAGTGTTAGGGAATGTAAAATATCTAAAATATAAAGAGCAAGGAGCTTTATTAACATCAAGTTCATTACTGCAGGGATTCATTATTTATTTATCATTAAAGCACGCAAAGAAAAAAACTATAGAAAAATTATTATTTATACTGAACAATTATTTCTATTCTAATTTGTGGTTCTTTGGGGCCAAAAAAAGTTTTTCTGTTGAGTACCATAATGAGCCATCAATGGTCATGTTCATAAATGAATAAAAAAGTAATAATTTTGTGGTTTGGAGTGTGGATGGATATTCTGCTCTTACATCAGTTTATAGATGGAAACAAAATGTATTTAAAATATATATATATATAATTATAAATACATATTTAGCATAAAACGTATGTATAATGTATAAATGTATGTATAAATAATGATTTCTGTCGAAATCGGGAACTCAGGAAGACTCAGGAATCTCAGGAAGTTTTTAAAAAATGACCCACTTATTTTAATATGTGTTTGAATGTGCAAGCCTTAAGCAAAATGATCCCACACATTATGGGTGATTCAATACTCAAGTGATTATAGTAATTTATTAGAAAAAACTAATAAATGTTTTGATCTTGACATTCAGTGCTTAAATAATTTCATAACTAAAATAGGGATGCATCTGACAACTAAACAAGTCAGGGCTCGTTACAATTAGAGCTTATGGGGTATGTAAGTATTATAAAGGTCCATCTTGCAAATAACTGCCATGCTTCACTGATAAATACACAGTTGGGCGTTGGTCATGTTTTTTGTCTCATAAATGTCTTTCAATTCCTGGAAAAGAGGAGTGTCACTGCAGACCTCCAACAGCAATGCTTTTTTAAAGAAAACTATTTAGTTTAATCCAGTATAGGCTGACTGAAAACGAAAGATAAGAATCAGTGTTCAATCAAAAATTGAAAGTAAATGTAACAGCATGTTGTAGTTACACAAATTATTAGAAAAGTAAAGTTTACACTTTCTCTAAACAAATTGTACTCACCATTTATAACATTTTCTTAGGTTATGCTTATATAAATATTTTTCATGTTCATATTTATTATTTTTAAATTCCTGAGTAATGTTTATCTCTCTCTCTTTTTTTTTTTTTTGGTTAAAAAAATATTTCATGAATATTAGATTTTTTTTTTCAATTTTTGAATTATACATTTATCAACAAGTTATTAAAAGATAAAACAAAAAGGTAAAACAAAAATAAATAATGTTTTGTCCACAATTCTCTTTTACTACAAAAACAATAGAACAGGGTTATATAAGCTATTGCCATCACACATAGGCTATAATGCTGGAAAGATAAAATTAATTTACTTTACATTAAATATCTGCCTAAATTATGTTGAAATTTGAAAAACTATTTACAAGCAAAAACATTTAATCACAGATGTAAGTGGCTAACATCTGCTAAATTATCAACTTGGTTTTCAATATTTATAACAAGAAGTTTGCAAACGTTATCCAAAATCCTGATTGCATTCAGAGCTATAAGAAACAAGTGGAAACTTGTTAAATGACTTTATGAAGTCACCATTTGTACATTTTTTAAGGACAGATAGAAACACATAAATCCAGTCTTGATCAACTTAATTATTTATTCTCTACCCGTGCTACTCTGCTTTCTTGCATCACACGGAATACCGATGACTTAAAGTGAAATAGGCCTACCACATAATTCTACACCATTATGGCTGCAAATTTTACTTAGACACAGCTAGGGAATGGCTGGTAAACTAAAATGTATTGAATTTTAAAGTTTATCTGAGAAGCTTGATTAGTTGGTTGGTTCAGGTGTGTTTGGTGAAAGCTAATGTAAATAGCAGATGTTTAATGTCACTTGACACTCCTGTCATCGCTTGGCAAAGCAGCCCGAACAAGCCAAACTCATAGAAATGACTAATTACAAAGTAAACAACTCAGAATGAAGATCCATGAGCAAACATATTTTTGAGCACAGTTCAATGAAAGATTTCCTGCAACATAGGTTTTGCATTAACATTCATTTGCATTATTACCAATAAAAAGAAAATGAAATGTGTAAAACGTACAGTTGTGACTTGGTTTTAATAAAGAAACATAAAAATATAATTCTGATTGCTTGTTAAAGTAAATAGTGTTTCAAACACCTTTGACCTGAAACATTGCAAAATGGCATCATGACTTTTGTGTAAACATACACGCCACTTTCAAGTCAAGTGGCTTGTTATCTATATCCGCGTGTACGTGTTAATGTCTACGCCGTTAAATGTACGCGCGATTCCGCGCGATTAAATGTCCGAGCGAAACGAAGCAAAATGTAGATCAACATGTGGGGAGCGCTATTTTTTTCCCTAGGATGGTATGGGGACACATGAAGACGCATCCAACAGACTCACACACACAAACACACACCCACGCGGAGAGAGAGAGAGAGAGAGAGAGAGAGAGAGAGAGAGAGAGAGAGAGAGAGAGAGAGAGAGAGAGAGAGAGAGAGAGAGAGAGAGAGAGAGAGAGAGAAAATCAGGACATCTCAAGAGAGGTCAAATACTTTCTCAGACACACACTTCATACTCAACAGGAAACAGTCCCTTTCCTTCTGAGATTGTTTACATGTTTCTCCAGTGGCGGTAACCATTTATAGCCAACAGACCGAACCAGTTCCCATGAAGAGAACGCTTTGAATGCTACAAATCTTATCATTTCAAAAAACTGCTTGGAGACATAATTTTCATGGACAAACAAGCTAAAAATAATCACCATTAATGGATATTGCCAAGATACAATCCCAAGAAATAATGCTGCCTTTTGCACAAAAAAAAACTTAAATTCTTAAATAAATATTATATATATATATACACACACACACATTTATAATATTTAATATTTCTGCTTCTTGTGTCAAATTACATTTATACAGTTTATCCAAAGCGTCTTACATAGCATCCAAGGTTTGCATTTTATCAGTTCATGCATTTCCTAGGAATCAAACCAGTGAGCTTGGCGTTGCTAGTGCAACAGAGCCACAGAAATGCAGATTGCAAATTAACTTGAACATGAAAATAATCAACAAACAACTTATGTATTGCAATGGGACATGTAGCACTAAAACAAAGCTTTTGATGACTGCCTGAATACAAAAATGGTTATCATTTTGAGAAATTTGGTTCTAAAATTCGTCTTTTCAGAATATAGAAAACCTACATAATCAGTCTATAAAATAATACTCTGGAAATCATGTTTCTAGAAAAATCACCAATAAACACAATCTTGGCTGTAACAGTGGAAAGGGGCCTCAAATGTATTAGTATTTAAATAATATTGCATGTTCCTGTTCAATATCACTCGAGGGCCCGTTTCCAAAGCCAATGGAATAATGTAGGGACGGGTCGGTGCCTCGGCGCAATGAAGAAACGGAGAACAATGAAGCATCTCTCAAATGATCACAACTGACACTTCAACCCCAGAGACCGACACCATCGCCTCAAATAGCAACATCCAAACAGCACATCCCAGCATGCACTACTCCAACGACAGTCAAAGCGCAGTGAAATCCATTAAGCAACTACACCAAACACGTCATATAACATCTCACGACACTCATTGTCTTCCAACACTCCCAAGGGTTATGAAAGTCAAATGGTTGTATTTTGGCTTACCTCGTCAAAGCCGCTGTCTTCTTTCTTGAAGGCTTGAGGGGGTGAGAAAGAAAAGTAATATCAGACTTTCATTTTACTGACTATTGAACAGTGAATAAAAGAATGAAATAATCAAAAAGTGGCTCTTTAATGCATTCTGCACATGAACATGAAAAACCAATAAGAAAGGCTGTAATTGGCTGAAATGGTTTTCCAGCCACAGCCGTATAGGCCAATAAGAGAAAGTCCACATTAAATTTAATCCACAAAATCAAGTGAAAGAAATTAGAAAATATATTTTGCATAAAGAAAATCAAGCCTTGTTTTACAATAAACTTTATAAAAGTATATATATATATATATATAATATATTAAATGTTTTATACAATATATATACAGTATTTATGCTTCACTTCATAAAAATATATATAATTTCTTTTGATTCGGGGGTAAAATGTGTCCCACCACACGTGCATCTGCTAACAACTCCAATAAAGCCTGGAAACCACAGAGAAATGGTTTTATCTGAGCATGGACATTTAAAGCGATACTCTCCTAGCAAACATCGACTTTTACAACATCATTCGATGAAGGAAACAGAATCTGGAGATCATATGGGATGAAATGGCCACTGGGAACAAAGAATGGATTCTTGGCAATAAAGCTTTCCTCTCAGATCTAATGAGACTATATGTACTTGTAAATATTGGATGACAGTTGTTTCATCTTTTTAACTGTTGTGGTAAGATCTCTGTCGTGTCTAGCACAAGGGAGGGAATTGATCAATAAACCAATTTATGATCAAACAAACTACATATTATACCCATATTGAGATGTAAAAGTGTTTGAGATACTGTTGATGACCACAGAAAATAACTCTATAGTCTATGATGCAAAACTCTGCACAGCAAATACATTAAAAAAAAAAATCTAATAATTTGTTTAAAAGGGAACCATTACGCCATTTTTCAACATTTGGATTTTTTAGGGGGCTCTACAAGAACAGGTTTTCATGCTTGAATGTTCAATAAACACATTATTTTTCACATATTCTCCATTGTTGCAGCACCTCTATTCCCGGTCTGTCAGTATTGCTCTGTTTAGTTCCGGTCTATATGAAGCCCCTCCTTCTGAAAAGCACACTGTGCTCTGATTGGTCAGCTGCTTTGAGCATTTTTGTGAAATGTCCCACCCCTTACCATAACCATGAGGCTTAACACACTACTAACTAACTCAACCAGGCCCCTCCCCTTTATTTTACACATTAATTTAATTTTATAATTTAAATAAGGAATCATGTGACATGTTCATTCCCGGAAGAAAACTCAAGACTATTCAAGGAGTTCAGAAACAGTGACACTGATATAGAGAATAACTCCCACTGGAGTGGACTTGTAACTTTGCAGACTTTTTTCATGCTTACAGGGTAACTAAACCCCTGGTCAGAGCCTGACTCCACCCACTGGCAATATTTGAATAATGCTGGAAAAGTGGGCAGAGCCCAGTGGAGGGGGGCATGCACCTGAGACACATCTCTTTGTATGGAACTTGCCTACGTCACCAACAACCGCTGTGTCACGTACCACCGCAAACATCCAATAGGAAAATTCAACTACAGTAGCCACCGTTCAACCTGAAGAGGGCAGCACTAAGACGTTTTTACACCATATATTGTAGACATAGAACACTTTATAAACAAATGCCAAAAAAGTTACTCGAATCAATGACTGGTATTAATAAAGATCCATTTTTACAGATCATTAACTAAAAAAAGTTGGTTAAGTGTTTAGTTACTCTTTAAACAGCAACATTTAATACACACTAAATGTTGAAAAAGTAAAAATGCTTTGCAGCACAGACTTAAAGCTACACTGTGTAACTCTTTTAGTTTATTCTTAGGTAAAAACACTTAGTTCTTTCAAACATATATGTGCTCATTAATGTATATTTAGTTCGTTCAATAAAGTATTCTCGTGAGTGTATAATATGCCATTGAAAATACATACGGGTAAGGGGTTCTAATGTCGGTCGCCATTTTGCCCCTCCATCTTGAAAGTACATTAGCCAAAGAGGGACATACCCGTTAATTCAAGCTTCGCTTTTTGAGTTAACACTCATGGACGAGGTCGAACTGGAAGCCATGTTAATCTTGGACTACATTGGTCACCGTAGGAGTTAAAACGAAATCGGAATTGAGAGAAACAGAAACTAAGGGTGTATTCACACCAGGAAAGTCCGATAGTTCACTTGCTTTTGTCCGGAACAAATAAATTATTTTTTTTTTTTTTGGTACGGTTCGCTTTCACACTGCTCTTTTTGCAAGTGAACCAAAATTTATAAACCAAACCACACGTGTGCTAAGGTCGTCCATTCATTGGACAAGGATTCTCAAGGGAAATCAGGAAGTGCAAAAAAAGGCTCAGCATGGAGATATTTCCATATATTTCATACTGCAATATTTGTTCTTTTACTAATTTTGTGTTAATTCGGTACAAACGCAATATGAAGAAACTAATGAGTATCATATGATACAATGTCATCTATACGAAGTTGTAATTCGGATTTTGAGAAGATGACGAGTGTAACGTTTGAGTGGCTCTATAAACGCGGGGAAATACGACAACTCTCGTCTCTCGTGCATCTTTTCATTCGACCACCTTCTGTTTTTTTTTTTTGTTTTTTTTTATCTCTGGGCATCATCTCAACTTTGCGTTACAAGTGGCACTGCACAGAAGACGGAGAATGTATAAAGTTTTCATTCATAGAGAGGGGCTATGTTCACTCATTCAAATAATGAGATTCTTATTGTGTACTAAAGTGCTGTCAATGTTAACGCTTGCGATTAAGTTTGTCCAGTTTAACGTAATGTAACATGACCCAAGGGGTAAATAATCAGGCGCAAGGCGGTTGTGCAGTTTCCATCAATAGGCACATTTTTATTCAAATAATTCAGCAATTAAAGAAAATGAGTCCTTAAAAGCAAATACCCACAAAATAACAAATAAAAAAAAATAAGAAACAAAAACAACAACCCACAGATGGCCACAGGTTACCTATATCGTGAAGGCACTAGTCCTGAAAAGTGCTCTCACCACAGCAATCACACTGCATCCCTAAAGGCAAAATACAAATAAAGTGACCAACACCACACGATCCCAGCCACCTCACCACCGCCATCCATACAGTGAGGGTAACCACACAGCCATCGTTGGGAAAAAGAAATCTACAAAAAGGAAAGAAAAACAGATTAACCGTGGGTAATGCCAGTAGGACAAACAAGTCAGCAGCACCATTGAACCATCACACTTAGTTTATGGTCTGGGGTTTTCCCACTTGGTCCAACATAAGACAAAATAATAAATAAACCAAAGAAAATTCAATCTAAAGTAAACGCTAACTGTGCATCCCTGTAAGGGAAAACACAATTAATTACAACAGGGAATTATCTACATTGTACAAAAAAATGTACAAAATAAAACCCAATATAAATTATGCACAGATGGAAAAAACATTATTAAAAGTTCCCTTTAATAAAACAATACCTCAAACATCCGATATTTCTGACTGGCACTCAGGCAACAATTAGTCAGGCAATAATCCGGCAAAAACACTAAAACCAAAGAACAATAAAATTATTAAAACAAAATCCTAAAAAACAATTAGATAAAATAATAAAACTACTACCTCCTAAATGGTGTGTAACAAGTACTCAGCTCTCCATGACGTTAACATAACTGCTTCTGCTACTATCCTTCTGAAGGGCTCAATCTGTCGTGACATGCACACATAACTCAATCGCTGCAAAAAAAGAAATAAGAGCAAACTAATCTCTCTACTTCCTAACCTTTGCAGCTTTAAGTGTGCCGCCCCCACAACACACACAACATCCACAACATCCACAACACACACAACATCCACAACATCCACAACATCCACAACACACACAACATCCACAACACACACAACATCCACAACACACACGACATCCACAACACAAGATCACGGAAAGGAAGTGAGAGGACAAACAAACCTCACTACTTCCTTATAGCGCTTGGGCTGGTGGGACTTGTAGTTCCCCGGGTTTTGTCCTTACGGTGATTCCGTATTTGCCCTCCTCTGGATATTGTTCATGCGCAGAACAACTGTGTCTTTTTGAGTTACGAGTCAGTAAAGGCTGCAATGTGAAATGCTCGTGTCAGTGTCATCACTTTAAACAAGTCGTGCATAAACAGCACTCCACGATGTAACAAAGTTGGCGACGAGGATAAACTCTCTCTCTCCCTCCGAGATAACGTGCTATTCAGCTGACGGCGACTAGTTAACCGCGACGGCGTCGAGCAGTGGAAGCTAACAGGCAAAACGCACGCGAGTCATGTCGTGCGATGCTCGTCGCGCTGGGAAATAGCGCAAACAGAGAACGGCAACTGCACACCACGAAGGCGACGCCAAACGGCACGGGAGGGAAAGGAGTCCAGTACAAAAGAAGAGTGAGTGGTAAATTACACTGACAAACAGACCAAAATGGCGGGTCTAGTGGGGCAAATCGGACCATATGATGAAACTGTCGAGCAGTGGAGCTCGTATACGGAGCGGTTCGATTATTTTGTCACGGCTAATGGGATAAAAGATGAGGTTCTAGTACCAACTTTTCTCAGTGTAATGGGTTGTAAGACATATAATCTACTACGTAGCCTGGTCCAGCCTAATAAACCTGGTGATAGCTCATTCAAGGACATTGTAACAATGCTCCAGGAACATTATGCACCAAAACCACTCATCATCGCTGAAAGATTCCGCTTTCATAAACGCAACCAATTAGAAGGAGAATCGATTGCACAATTTGTTGCTGTACTGAAGCGTCTGTCAGAACACTGTGAGTTCGGCACAACACTGAGTGACACCATAAGAGACAGATTTGTGTGTGGGTTGCGTAGTGAGACCATTCAAAAGCGACTCTTATGTGAAAGTAACCTAACGCTAGAGTGAGCAATGGAAATCGGTGTATCCATGGAAATGGCTGCAAAAGAAGCACAAGAGTTAAGCACATCCAGTCAAGTTCACAATGTGTACAGTGAAAGAGTGAAACAGGATGATAAGCGAGCATGTTACCGCTGTGGAAAGAGTAGTCATATGGCACAGGAATGCTGGTTCAAAGACAAAGACTGCAGAAACTGTGGAAAAAAAGGCCATATTGAACGTGTGTGCCAAAACAGAAAGCAAAATGAGAAAGCAAACCCAGCTAAACCTGGAGAGTTCAAGAAAAGTTATGTCAGAAAACTCAAAAAGAAAAACGTGAATCAAGTGAAATATTCAGGGAAACAACAGGAGGATGAATCTGATGAAACTGAATACTCGCATGTAATGTCTGTGTCTTCAAATTCTGATGGCTACTGGGTGACACCACTTCTAGATGGAAAAGCTGTCCCAATGCAAGTGGACACAGGAGCTGCTGTATCGCTCATGGCAGAGTCAACTTACCGAGAGAAGTGGCCATACCTCTGTCTCAAAGAAGCGAAGCTGAGCTTGAAAACATACACAGGTGAGCTTGTACCTCTGTCAGGAGTCGTGGATGTGTCTGTAGAGCTAAACAGACAAAAGGTAAACTTACCACTGTATATTGTGAAAGGTAGTAGTCACACAGCTCTGATCGGTCGATCTTGGCTAGAGAAAATAAAGCTAAACTGGCAGGAAGTACATTTAGTGGCGAAAGAGTCTACCAGCCTACAACACATTCTGAGGAAGCATGCAGAGGTGTTTGGAGATGAATTGGGAAGCATGAAAGATATCACTGTAAAACTGACCATTAAGTCTGATAGTAAACCTAAGTGCTTAAAGGCTCGCCCAGTTCCTTACGCCATAAAGCCTAAGGTAGGAACTGAATTAGACCGGCTGGAGGAAACCGGTGTACTGAAGAAAGTGAGTGTTAGCGAGTGGGCCACGCCAATTGTTCCTGTACTGAAAAAGGATGGATCAGTCAGAATTTGTGGCGATTTCAAGGTTACTATCAACCCGGTGTTAACTGTTGAACACTACCCCTTGCCACTAATTGAAGATCTGTTTGCTGGATTAGCAGGCGGCCAAAAATTCAGCAAGATAGACTTATGTCAAGCTTACCTCCAAATGCAGGTGGATCCTGTTTCCCAAGAGCTGCTGACCATCGTGACACACAAGGGCCTATACAGGTATCAGAGGCTTCCTTTCGGCATAACTTCGGCTCCAGCGTTGTTCCAGCGGGCCATGGACCAGATCCTGAGTGGATTGAATGGAGTACAGTGTTATCTCTTGATGATCTGTTAATTACAGGGAAAGATGATGAAGACCATCTCGGGAACCTGAACGCAACACTACAAAGGCTAAAAGAGTATGGCCTTCGGGTGAAGAAAGACAAATGTGACTTCTTCCAGCCCACCATCGAGTACCTAGGACACGTGATTGATAGCGCTGGTCTTCACAAAGCTCCATCAAAGGTAAAAGCTATTGTGGGTGCGCCGTCGCCAAAGAATGTAAGCCAACTGCGATCATTCCTAGGATTGCTAACAGTTCATGCCAAACCTTTCCAGTAGACTTCGTCCACTTCATGAACTGTTAAACAAGTCAAACAAATGGAAATGGTCTGACAAATGTGAAAAGGCATTCAGAGATGTGAAGTGCACATTAACACAATCAGAGGTCCTCACACATTACAACCCTGCCCTACCGATACAGTTGGCATGTGATGCTTCACCGTATGGTGTCGTGCGGTACTTTCACATGTAATGCCATCTGGTGAAGAAAGACCAATCGCTTTTGCGTCAAGGACTCTGAACTCAGCAGAGAGTAATTATGCTCAAATTGAGCGAGAAGCTTTAGCAATCGTGTTTGGTGTGAAGAAATTTCACCAGTACCTGTTTGGGCGCAGATTTACCCTGCTCACGGACCACAGACCCCTTACCTCCATTTTTGGTCCCCAAACCGGTATTCCTTCTCTGGCAGCGAATCGCATGCAACGTTGGGCTCTGCTACTGTCGGCTCATCAGTACGACATCAAGTATAAGAGGTCTGAGCAACATTGCAATGCGGATGGACTGTCTAGGCTGCCTTTGCCAGACACAAAGCCAGAATGCCCTCAAGGCGACATATTCTACTTCCAAGAAGTGCAAGGTGCTCCGGTAACTGCTGCCCAAGTGAAACGATTCACACACAGCAAATTTCAGGAGTTGAAAAATCATGAGTTTGGCAAAAAAAGTGTGAAAGAGTTAATTGTTTGGAGTTATTTTTTTTAACTCTGACTACGGTTTGTGTTATTGGATACTCCCCGGCTGTGTTGTATTTTGGAGTTCATTCATTGGTGTTCAGGAGCGTGTTTTAGCACTACACCTGGAGTTATTCTTGAGAAGTGCGCCACGACACGACCCTGCCGCTGCACAAAGGATTAATGGACTTAAGCTTCGTCGTGAGGTAGGTAAAAGTGTAACTTATATAAAACTATTTAAAAAATATATTTTCTGACAAACACGTTTGGTCATCGCGTAGCTGTTACGTTACAAGCTAGTTTGTTTACTAATTAACGTCAACGACCATGACAAACTTGCTGTTGAACGCATGTTTAAATTACTTGTTTCAAATTTTGAAATGGCTATATGCGTGGGTTTTTTGTCGATGTAAACGAGTTAACATTAGCTAACCGTCTTTCCATTCACCGTGTTTCTGAAAATGAGTGTTTTGCCGTGAAATTGATGCATCAATGCATTACAGGCAATTGAATTGTAACAGCCACAGTATGTAACGTTAGGCTATATTAGTGGTGACCCACGATGTGCGTGATTTTCATCTTATATATTTTTGCATTCTCAATGAATGGTGCTAGATTATATTATGCCTCATGCTGTTGTTTTTGTGATCTTCAGACGACTGTCCTGCAGCAAGCGGTTGAAGGTTACTCCTCCTCAAATGGATTTGCACAAATAAAGGCAGTAAATCAAGAGTATGGTGTCCAGTGTAGTAATTTCCACACAAAACATTATATTGTGTTAAATAAATGTTAACTCTAAGAAGTGTTAAATTAAACTGTTAACACTGTAATAGGATTAGTATTTTAACTCCATTTTAACTCTGAAAAAAGTGTTAAAAATTCAACTCCAAGAGCAGAGTTATTTTAACTCTGCCCTGGAGTCTAATTGATGGTCTCACATGTACACTCAGATTGAGTTGATTTTAACTAACAGGGAGTTTATTCCAAAAACCAGAATTTGCTGTGCAAGAACTGACCCTGTCTTGTCAGAAGTTCTGACCAGGATATCTCAGGGCTGGAAAGGAAAGATGACAGATAAATTCAAACCCTATCTGATTCGACGAAATGAGTTGACAGTGCAGTCAGATTGTTTACTGTGGGGTTATCGTGTCATCATACCCCCGCCCCTGAGGCACCGTTTGTTGAAAGAACTTCACGCTGGTCATTCGGGAATAGTGAGAATGAAAGAGATGGCACGCAGCTACTTCTGGTGGCCTGGCTTGGATGCAGAGATCGAGGAGGAAGTAAAGGGTTGTTCAGAATGTAAGGAACATGCCCCAGCAGCTCCCTTACATCCATGGGATTTTCCAGAGGTGCCATGGCAAAGAATTCACATAGACTTCGCAGGACCTCTGGAGAACCACATGTTTCTGGTACTTGTGGATGCTCACAGCAAATGGCCTGAGGTTGCGGTCATGCATAACACATCTTCGGAGAAGACCATTGAGGAGCTTAGAAATGTTTTCAGTCGTTTTGGACTGCCACAACAGCTTGTAAGTGATAATGGGCCCCAGGGTTCTGCCAGGGAATTGAGGCAGTCTACCCTCCTTCCCCAGAGTTAGAAAAGTTAATAGAATGTTCATGAAAATAATAATAATAAGAGTAATGTTCTTAAACTAAAGACAAATGTATGTATGACATCAAAAGCATTTATTTGTTGAGATTGACTTCAAAAGTAAAAGGGGAGGAATAAGTTGTGTATTGTTTACTTAACGTTTCGGGTTTTGTCCTTACGGTGATTCCGTATTTGCCCTCCTCTGGATATTGTTCATGCGCAGAACAACTGTGTCTTTTTGAGTTACGAGTCAGTAAAGGCTGCAATGTGAAATGCTCGTGTCAGTGTCATCACTTTAAACAAGTCGTGCATAAACAGCACTCCACGATGTAACAGTCCCATTACAGTAAATTAACGCATCATCATCCTTGTATTGTAACTATCCTTACATTAATAATAATAATAATTCATCACATTTATATAGAACTTTTCGGCGCTCGCTTTAAGGGGGAAACTCGTCAACCACCACCAAAAGGTGGTGAACTGCAAATGCTTTATTTTTTTTTGCATCTTTGCGCGATTAGACATTCGCAGAAAGACGCGCAATATTCTCTTTCGACGCAGTGCTTTCTTGCAATTGGGTCGGTTCATGTTCACACCGTAAACGAACCGTACCAGAGTTCGTTTGGAACCGTACCGAGACCACCTCTTCAGCTGGGTCTCGGTTCGGTTGTTTGGTCCGCACCCGAGTTCGATTGCTGTATTCACACCTGCACAAAAAGTCCGCACCAAGGGGGCAAACGAACTAGAGTTCGATTCAATCGAACCAAACAAGGCAGGTGTGAATACACCCTTATAAATCGTATTAACCCTAGTGACGGGTAGATTTAGGGACGGGGTTGGGGTAGGTCATATATTTATATATACAGTAATGAAACGTTAAGTCAACGGCGTTCATAAACACGAAAAGCGATTAGGTATTCGTGTTGATAGCACGCCAAAAGCACGCTCAGTTAAAATGTCTATGTTGAATGGAAAACCCAAGTGGAGTTTGCTCCCTCATTTGAGAATTCCCCCACCCTGTACCATTGAAATTCAGAATGACATCAGATTAACATTTCGGTTAACATTATGTTTTACTATTGTTTTCACAGACTCGAAATGCCAACTCCTTGGGACAGCAAGCATTAGCAGAGAAGAACTCCAAAACGGCACGCACCCTGAATCATGTTGCCCTTGCTGTTGGTCTTGTTGTCACTGTATTGGTGATTGTCTTGGAGGTTGTTGTTATAGGCTATATGCACGCATAAGTTCCGCATTTGACGTAAGGATGCTCGTCCATTTCCGGTTGTGTAGATTAAAGCGGAGGAAAACCGGATAAAACGGGATTATGGCAGAGTCTTCAATATTTACTGTCCTCCCGTCTTTGAAACGAAACGTACATACGTTTAGATGTAATTTTATATATAGTTATGTTTATTTAATATAATTTTAAAAAGAAGCATAAACACAACGAGGGGTGTCTGTTTTATCTGTTTTTGTGACTAACGTTTCATTAGTATAACCATGGAGTATAAAATTCAATATAAATTCTCGGTATTGCATTGGACTCTACGATCGGCGGAAGTTATCGAGCATCCTTAATCCTTCACCGGAAATAACGCCGTGCATAGAGCCCATTAAGAATAGATAACAGCTATAAGAGATGTCATCTTTGGATGCAGATTATAGAAACAGATTTGATTCTCTGCATTTGAAATGTTATTTGCTCAATGTACTTAAAACATACAATGATTATGGTATGTTTAAAATCAATGAAAGCTTTAATTAGATAATTAAATTTTCTTTTGAAAAACACTACTTTTTCTTTTCATAATTATCGAATTACATTTGCAGTCATTAATAAATATATTCAAAGTGTATATGAGACTGCCATCTTATTTTATAGGAAACTGTAAAACTAACCCATTGGCAATGCATTTTCTGTTCTCTTATATATATATACTGTGGTTGAGAAAGCACTGCAATTGAAGAAAACACGTGCAATTAGAAAAAACACCAGCAAATTAAGAAAACATTATCAGTTTGACAACACAACCCAATACAGAAACCTATTACCAGAAACCTATAGAGAAAGGTCCTATTCAAAACCTTTTCTTGGAGGTCCCAGGATACCTATTGAGGGGCTATGGAGGGCCCATAAGTTGGGGTGAGGGTGCCATATCGTCCCGTTCGCCTGCATGGCACCGGCCAGGGAAAAAGGTCCATAATCTGCACCAGCTCCGGAAACCACACCTGGGTTTTCCAGAGGGGGGCTACTAGGAGGACTTGGCATCTGCTTTTCCTTTATCGTTTCCTTGATCATTTTAAATTCATATCATTAAGATTTTAAGATCTTTATACTTAAAATTAAGATCTACAATAACAGAAATATGGAACAATCGCTGTAACATGCAACCTTTTTCCGGTCACTAGCCTACTTTAATCCATCGATATGTGATGAAATGAATCCACATTACAAAAATAAACCAATGGAAAAAATATGCCATTAAAAATGTGTACTCTTTGACAGCGACACCTGTGGTTAAAGTTACAGCGGGTTGTTGTGTCTCTCTTGCCTCCCTGAGCCCATTGAGTTTGAGGTCTGAGGGGTAATTGAGAATGAATGGGTAAAATCACAGGAGAGGACGCTGTTCATTGTACTACCCACATACACTTTGTGTTTAATGAGTCTTCGAGATGGCAGATCTTGGAAGAAACCCCAACTGAAATTAACAATGTGAGGATTTTTTTTTTAAGTTACATTTTAGTAGAAGAGTTTGTATACTCTATAAACCAAGATGTGCAACACAGGTTTCAACCACAACTGTGCAGGAAATGATACGTCTGACAGTTTAAC